AGAGGCGGCGGGCCGTGGCCGCGGCAGTAGAGGCGGGGCCGCGTCAAGGGAGGCGGCGGGGCCGCGTCAGGGGAGGCGGCGGGGCCGCGTCAGGGGAGGCGGCAGGGGAGGCGGCGCGTCAGGGGAGGCGGCGGGGCCGCGTCAGGGGAGGCGGCGAGGCCGCGTCAGGGGAGGCGGCGAGGCCGCGTCAGGGGAGGCGGCGGGGCCGCGTCAAGCAGGCGGCGGGGCCGCGATCAGGAGAGGTGGCGGGGCCGCGTCTGAGGGACAGCGGGGCCGCGAGGGAAAAGGCGACCCGAGGGGTCGCTAAAAAAAATGCGCGCCTCGGGGCGCGCTTCGGTGGGCCCTAAGAAAACGGTCTTAAGGTAGGACCCGCTCTATACCATGTGAAACAAGGAAAACAGGAATGAAAATGACTAAGGAAGAGTGGGTACAAATACAACCCTAGAAACCCTGTACCCCATATGTGCTACCCCACTATAGCCTACAGAAACTATGTCATATAAATCTGACAGCTAGCATGCTCTTTCTCCCCCCACGTAAAAGCGACCCCCTTACGCAGTAAATCAGTGAGTGGGGCTGTTAAACGTGCCATGTCGGGCACGAACCGTCGAACGTAATTAACAAAACCTAAAAAACTCTGCAGTTCCGTGATTTTCGTCGGGGGGCGCCATGCTTTTACCGTATCCAGCTTCTTTGGGTCAATCTCAACCTCAGCCTCCGAAATGACGTGACCCAAAAACTCTAGCCCGTCCCGGAAAAACTCGCATTTGGAGCCCTTGGTGAGTAGCCGATGTTCCTCCAAAACCTTAAAAGCTGCTTCAAGATCCACTAAGTGCTGCCGCTTATCCCGGCTGTAAACTAGAATATCGTCCAGGTAAACTATCACGCATTTATCTAAAAGTGGTCTAAACGCCTCGTTCATGGTCATCTGAAATGTCGCAGGCGCGTTCGTCAGCCCGAATGGCATTACTGTATACTGGAATGACCCGTACCTAGTCCTAAATGCTGTTTTGGCGCGGTCTGATGGTTCGACCCGAATCTGATGGTAACCTCCCCGTAAATCTATTTTCGAAAAGACTCGTGCTGTTCGCAGTTGGTCGATCAGTTCGTCAGCGCGGGGGATGGGGTATCGCGATTTGATTGTTACCCTGTTAAGCGCTCGGTAGTCGATGCACATGCGGAACCCTCCGTCTTTTTTCGGTGTGAACAGTATCGGTGCGGCGAACGGTGACGAGCTCGGTCGGATAAACTGCTTCTCTAACAGGTAATCTAACTGCTTCCTTAATTCGTCGAGCTCGGGCTGTGTCAGTCGAAATTGCCGCTGTACAGTTGGCTGTGCCCCCGGTTCTAACTCGATCCTATGGTCGTGCGCCCGCTGAGGTGGCAATCCCTGTGGTAAATCATCCGGAAATATCCCCGGGAACTGTTTCAGTAGTGCCTGTAGTTCGGTCGGTACAGTTGCCAGCAGTTTCTCCAAATCACTCGGCTGCTCATCTTTTTCTACGAGTGCGATATCCACTGCGTACACGTCAGCTCCAGCAGCGACAGCCCGTTTCATCGTGATGGCGTTGACCTGGACCGTCGAAGATTTGGGTGGCTGCCAGCGAGGTAGAACGACCCAGTTACCACTACTTCGCACTGTGCAGCTCCCCGTCGTCCAGTCGATCCGTGGGTTGTACCGTCGCAGCCAATCACGTCCCAATAAAATGTCGTGCCCATCCAGTGTCGTCGCGAGCATTTCCTGTGTAAACCCGAAGTTCCCCCCGCAGCGGACTTTTACGCGCTCCACCTTTTCCCGTATGGCCAGGGGCGTGCCGTCGACTAAGCGTGCATCTATCTCAGGTAAACATTGGTTAAGCGTTAACTGTAATTTTCGTGCGGTTGCGGTATTAACTAAGCTGTGGCTTGCTCCTCCGTCAATGAAGATCTTCACTGCTGCTCCCTGTATTTTCCCGTAGATCAGTACCAGACAATCCATCGCTGTACCCTCCTTATTCATCCGAGCCCGATCGATGGCGTGAATCGGTACTGTGACTCGGTGAGGGTCGGTGTGGTTGGGCGAGCAGGCAGTCTCGTCAGTAGTTGGCCCAACTTCTACTGACTGCTGGCGTTTCCCTGCCTCCGAGACTCCTTCCCCTGCTCTGCTCCTCGACGCCTCAGCTCCTCTGGACATTCGCTCTTGCGATGGCCCGGCCGGTTGCAAGCAAAGCAGCGCCCTCTAAACGGCGCGGCAGCTGCATTCACTGCGACGGCATGTACAGTGGCGTGCTCGGTCGGTCCCCGAGGACGATGTCCGTAATAGGACCCCGGTCTCGGTCGGCGTAGGATATCGATTTTCTCGGCGAGCGCGAGGATCTCGTTGAAATTCGAGAGCCAGCGTAGCATTATCTCATGCGAGATGTCCGGCTTCAGCCCTCCGACGTAACGGTCCACCCGCTCCGCTTCGTGCATGTAGCCGACCTGTTCGCAAAGTGCGAGAAACCCGCTGGTGTAGTCTTGAACTGACCCGAGCTGGCGCCAAGTGCGCAGTTTCTGACGCGCCGAAATCGAGGCCGCGATCGGCTCAAAGCGCGCCCGAAGCCCTGCGCACCACGCATCCCACGTGCTGTATTGGGCGGTTTCGCAGAACGAACTCCAGGTAACAGCTGGACCCGAGGGCCCTTCCTCGTGCGACGGTGGCTCGTAGGCGCGCGGCGACGTCACAATGACTCGCCACCAGTCCATGGCGGGGCCCCTGAGTAGTGAAACCGCATACCGGATCTTGGCGGCGTCCGACTCGACGTAGTTGGCGTCGAAAAACACATTCATCGTGAAGACCCACGATTGAACTGTCGGGCCGCCACGTTGGCTTAGGTCGAAGCAGGGCGGGCGTTGCGGCTTGAGTGGCTTTGGGGCCATCATGGCGTTCTCGCCACTTGTCGCCGCAAACTCCACGTGCCGACGGGCTTCTCGGGGCTCCCGTGGGCTTAATGCGCTCCTGTTCCCTCCCATGCCGGGCATCGGTTGGGCTGCGCCGTCACTGGCTGCGCCTGAGCGCTGTCCCGTGCTGTTGTGTTGCGTTGGTGTGCCGGATGAGATGACGATGGGCTCCTCCGAATGTGCAGATGTATTGGTTGGTGCGTGTGATGTCGTCGGTACGTTCAGCGTTGACTGTTGACGGGCGGATTCACGTTCCGCCGTGAGAGTCGCGATTTCGAGCGCTGAATCCTCCAATTGACGCACGAGACGATCGAGTTGCTCCTGCGTCAACGTGGCGAGATTGAAATCGGCCATGGCGGGGGTGTCGGGCAAGCTGAGCGAGAGCCTCGGTCGTGGCCGTGCGTGCTTTCGAGAGAGCACTACGAGCGGCGGTGCTGTGTCGCTAAGAGACGTCTACCCCCCCCAAAAAATTGAGATAGTGGGAAGCGAAGGTGTGGATGCGGTCCGAGATGAGATCGTAGGCTCTGAATACCAAGTGTTACGAGTGCAATTGAGTGAACGAACGAGAATTGCACTATCGAAGCAAGAAAATACAATGAGCGAAGGCGTGAGCGAACATTATATAGCGAAACTACCGTGGTAACGGTAATGGTCGCGCGACGAGCCTGGGACTGAGGTTGGGAAAGTGTCGAAGCGTAGGTCCGGAGCGCGGGTTACCAGCCGAGCCGTGAGGTCGGGATGCGATGTGCGAAAAGGGCGGGATGATGAATGATGCGATGGTCGCGAGTGGTAACGGTGCTGACTCAACGCGTACATCACTGTAGCACCTCAGTCAGCACCGTTACCACTCGCGACCATCGCATCATTCATCATCCCGCCCTTTTCGCACATCGCATCCCGACCTCACGGCTCGGCTGGTAACCCGCGCTCCGGACCTACGCTTCAGTGATGTACGCGTTGAGCAGGGACGCGAAGTAAGGAAAAGGGATTTTCGTTACACTAGCCCTATATTAGTCTGTGCACTCATTGAATTCGCAGTTGATTTAGTCATAGCCTCGTTATTCGTTTACCTGCGCACTCTCTTTTACAACTCATAACATTTACGAACAGTAAATGTACGAGCTGGAACCCCCCTGACTGCACTGGTATCTCGGACAGGTGGGTAACCAGATACGTGCGCGAACTCTCATGGACGCTTGTGGCGAAAGTTCCTGCTATTTTTAGCTAATCATTAAATACAGGTGGTTACGAAGACCTGGTTTCACTACTGAATGTGGTGAAGCTTTTAGCGGAGTTGTCATCTCTCCCTGAGAAATTTTGCTGTTGTCCGTCAAACGTCGCTGCAGAACAGAACCTTCGCTGTATGGAGAGTGATGATTGGTTATGAACTATGTCACAGATGGAATGCGGGAGGTGAAGATCTTTTGCTGATTTGGTGAGGAGGGCACGTCAAATGCTTTTAGATGTCCTCCAAGTAAAACCGATTTCCAGCCTGAGGTACTGTCTGTCTCGTTATTCGTTTACCTGCGCACTCTCTTTTACAACTCAAAACAGACCTGGTATTGTTGAGCGCTGAGCGTCAGCCTGACGCATCGGTCCCTTTTCGCACGGCATACTGTCGGCGAGGGCTTGTCAGAACAACTATTTCGTGTGTTGTCTCCACCCACTTGTAACACCCGAAACTCTTCGCCAACAAATTCTAAACTTTGGATGCTCGTCTAACTCTTTGCTGTCTGTTACGGGAATATCGAGGGGGTTGTCTTTTGAACTCAAGCCTGTCCTGATTCGTGAAAAGCTGTCACTCTTGCTTTGAAGTTTGTAGCCAAATACCTTCAACCCGCAAGTTATCAGGCACAGTCAACGAAAGGTCAGCATCGTATTCGGTCTATCATAAGGCTAATGACTGTCGGTGCGCTTTAGAGCGTGCTAGGCTATTCGAGGATTGGACTAAAGAATGGGTAGGTGTCGTTCAGAGTCGAACTGGCTGTCGTGGCTCTGGGGATCTGGCATTCGCATGACATTCCGTTGTCAGACAACTCTATGACTCCTTGCTCGATTAAAACTTGTGTCGGTTAGTCAGCATGAACAATGAGGGTGACGACGGAAGTCGTGATAGTTTCCAAAAAAGCTCACTAACCTCGTCAGGGAGCGGAAGAGGGTCAGGGTTGGCAGCAAATGGAGGAAGAGGAGCGGTGTCAGTTCCTCGCAACAACTGGCAGCAGCATCAACCATGGCTGCGGCAATCCTGTGCGACGGGGAATGGATTGCGGGAAAACTTCGTATTCTCCATTGCTCCCAGCAGAATACGATTGGCTGAAAATGATCGGTGCGTGTCATTCCCCATTGGCTAGCGCGTGTCACCGCGACGAATGAGATAGATGTGTATGGTTCTTTTTTACCGCAGTGCACCAACTCAGCATGAAGCTCCCAGGGTCGTCAAACACGCATCTGTCGCCTTCACCTTCTTACTGTCTCAGTCCGTAGTAGATAAACGCTGTCTCAGTTAGCAGAGACTGAACGCAATCCCGTCTCCTCCAAACTCAAACTTGACGCTACCTGCTCTCCCACCCGTCTCTTTCCCCACTCACCCACCATTTCTCGGTAAACAGGGATCGTGGCTCCTTCTCCTTCGCTCCACTTAACAGCGAGCTCCTCAGAATGGCAGAGCAGGTACGATGCACGCAATGTCCGAGCAGGTACGATGCACGCAATGGCAGAGCAGGTACGATGCACGCACTGGCAGAGCAGGTACGATGCACGCACTGGCAGAGCAGGTATGATGCACGCAATGGCAGAGCAGGTACGATGCACGCAATGGCAGAGCAGGTACGATGCACGCAATGGCAGAGCAGGTACGATGCACGCAATGGCAGAGCAGGTACGATGCACGCAATGGCAGAGCAGGTACGATGCACGCAATGGCAGAGCAGGTACGATGCACGCAATGGCAGAGCAGGTACGATGCATGCAATGGCAGAGCAGGTACGATGCACGCAATGGCAGAGCAGGTACGATGCACGCAATGGCAGAGCAGGTACGATGCACGCAATGGCAGAGCAGGTACGATGCACGCAATGGCAGAGCAGGTACGATGCACGCAATGGCAGAGCAGGTACGATGCACGCAATGGCAGAGCAGGTACGATGCATGCGTCTGCTGGGACGCACCGGCATGTAAGTCTTTGCTGAGTCGCACTCTACGCGGCCGTAGTGGACCCAGTGTAGCTGGGTGGATTCAACACATGTTACACTATCGTTCTGTTTCTGCCGAGCAGAGTAGGCTAATCGCTCTCCATATTTTCGTCTCAATATTAAAATCGCACCAGAACACGGATTTTTTGGTGTGCAGCAGCCTACAATAGAAGCACACCGGATCAGTATTCGGTCATACTGGGTCGTCTGATTAGATGCGATTATTATTCGACCTCAGCATTGACTTTCACTGCACCTTATCTCACCTCACCCCTCCCACCAGGCCATCGCATCCCTGAGCACCGCCAGCAAAACACCCACTCCCGTCGTCTGCAAGCCTGGCACCACGGCCCCTGGAAGGCCATCGCATCCCACACACGCACCACCTGCTCCCTCTACCTCTTTCCCAAGCCGTCCATTCGTTTCGCAACCTCTGCCTTCGATTTCTGACCCAAGAAGTAACTTATCTTTTGTTGATGTGAGGGGAGGAGGAGGAGGAGGAGGAGGAGGAGGAGGAGGAGGAGGAGGAGGAGGAGGAGGAGGAGGAGGAGGAGGAGGAGGAGGAGGAGGAGGAGGAGCAGGAGGAGGAGGAGGAGGAGGAGGAGGAGGAGGAGGAGGAGGAGGTGGAGGAGGAGGAGGAGGAGGAGGAGGTGGAGGAGGAGGAGGAGGAGGAGGAGGAGGAGGAGGAGGAGGAGGAGGAGGAGGAGGAGGAGGAGGAGGAGGAGGAGGAGGAGGTGGTGGTGGTGGAGGAGGAGTGGGGGGATGGGGAGGGGGAGGAGGAGGATTTAGAGGGGGTGTTGGTGAATCTGGGATAAGACCAGGTTCGTCTCATGGAGTGGCAGATGGTGGCTTGGGCTCAGACAGGCCCAGACCGGCAGGTTCGGCCGAGCCGCAGCTCCAGGGCCAGCAGCAGCAGCAACAGCAGCCTCTGCAGGAGAATGGGAGTCTCTTCGATGATGATGAGCTGTTCCAGGTGGGTGGTGCTCGCAGTAGGCACGTGCTCCTATGGCAGTAGGCACGTGCTCCTATGGCAGTAGGCACGTGTGTCTTTGGCAGTAGGCACGTGCTCCTGTGGCAGTAGGCACGTGCTCCTATGGCAGTAGGCACGTGTGTCTTTGGCAGTAGGCACGTGCTCCTGTGGCAGTAGGCACGTGCTCCTGTGTGTAGAGCGGATTTTAAGACGCCAATGCACGAGATGTTCCAGGTACATGGTGGTAGTTATGATATGCTGTGTGTGCTCATGCATGTGCACGTGCGTGTGTGTGTGTTTGTGTGTGTGTGTGTGGGTGTGTGTGTGTGCATGCGTGTGTGAATGTGTGTCCGTGTATGTGTGCGTGTTTGCGTGGGTGTATGTGTGTGTTTGCGCGCACACGCTCGTATGTGTCTGCCTCTGTGTGTGCACATGCGTGCACATTCTTGTGGCGTGTCTTCATGTGTACCTGTATCTGTGCGTATGTGTGCGTGCATGTGTGTGTGCGCGGGCCAACAGGACATTGACGTGGATGAGCTGGTCAGGCAGTCAACCCAGCAGCATTGAGGTGTTTATAGGCGCCTCAAAATACACCTCAATCGTTGCATGTCCATCTGTGCGTGTATGTGCGTGCATGTGTGTGGGGGGGGCAACAGGACATAGACGTGGATGAGCTGGTGAGGCAGTCAACCCAGCAGCAGGAGCACAGCAGCACACCGGACAAGGACAAGGCGCAGCAAGGGAATATTCCACCAGACAGGCAGCAGCAACACCAGGGATTTGCACCACAAGACCAGCGGCAGAATCTCAACGGCTACGGGCAGGCAGCAACTAACTGGAACACTCCTCCGCCTCTCCCTCCACTCTTGCAGCAACCATGCTCTCATGGCATGCCTGTGAGTGTCTCTGAAAGTTCTCAGTCGTGATTCCACTTCGATGTTGCACACCTGTGAGTGTTACTTGTTGTTTCACTGTTTGTCTGCTATTGGCTGAGCCATCCAGTGCAACGCCATGTAGCGACGACCATGCCATGCCATGTCATGTCATGTATGCTGTGTCTGTGCACTGATGTTTTCGTATTTCCATGCCATCACATGCCATGTGCCTGGAATTTCGCTCCCTGCAGCTCTCTCACCATTGTTCCCCCCCATGATCACCTCATGCTCTCCCCTCCGCGTGCAGGAGCGCAAGAACGAGCTGCTAGACATGTCTAACGACCTTGAGGCACCTAAACCGTTTGTGCTTTGCATTCCCTCCCCATCAATGCATGCATACAGCTGGTGCAGTGCCCCTCGTTGTAAGCACACATACAGGAGCGCAAGAACGAGCTGCTAGACGTGTCCAACGACCTTGAGGCATCTAATACATTCGTGTTTTGCACCCCCCTCCCCATCAATGCATGCATCAGCTGGTGCAGTGCCCCTCGTTGCAAGCACACATACAGGAGCGCAAGAACGAGCTGCTAGACGTGTCCAATGACCTGCTGGACAACGCGGGAGACATGTGCCCCCGGCGGGCAGAAGAGCTCCGACTGCGCAGGTAGCGGGGTGGTGGTGGTGGTTGCGGGGAGAGGGTGAGGTGGAGGTGAGTTGCTCTGTTGGTGGTGTGGTGGTGGAAAATGCTCCTTCCTACATTTAGGAGCGCAAGAACAACCTGCTGGACAAAGCGGGCGACATGAGCCCCCGGCGGGCAGAAGAGCTCCGACTGCGCAGGTAGTGGGGTTGGGGTAGGGGAGAGGATGCAGGTTGTGGGGAGAGTGAGAATTTGGTAGGCAGTGTGTGAAAACTGAAAGAAATGGTAGGCATCTTTTGGAGCAAGCGTTTAAGTGCTAAGGCTGGATGGGAATTGGCGGTGAAAGGAGTTGAATCAACCCTTTATGGCATGAGCTCTGTTTGAGGTTAATCCTGGGTTATTGCTGTGACATCCTTACCTACCGCCCTTCCACCAACCCTCACCCCTTCCACTCTCCTCCGTCTTCTAACGTTGCTGCATATTTCTTTGACCTCTAAAAGCCCTCCTCTGCTTCCCAGGTCTACGCCCCGCATCCCCCAATCTCACGCCCCTGCCTTGCTTCCTTGCATTGCACACTCCACCTCCCCCCCAGGAAATCCCTCCAGCAGGAGATACAAGCCCTTCAGCAGCACTCACAGAACGGGGCCACCACCTCCCCTCACCTCTCCTCCCCATCACCTGCCGTGCACACATCGTCACCGCACTTCAATCACTCCTCACCACCCTCCACCCATCCCTACCGACCTGCCACCCCGTCCTTCACCACCCATGGCTCTCGTCTCATGCCTTCTTCCAATGGCTGGAATACACCTCCTAGAAGCACCTGGTCCTCCCCTCCTCCCTCGCACCCCGCTCCTCCCTCCTCTTCTCTGGGTGCTGGGCCAGCAGCAGGCATGGGGGCAGCAGCAGCAGCAGCAGCAGCAGCAGCAGCAGCAGCAGCAGCAGCCACAGTAGGGTCGTTTGCTGCAGCAGGGGCGAACCGAGGCTATGCCTCTGCGACTGGAGAGGTCAACAATGGAGGAGGAGGGTTTTCCGTTGCCAATGGAGGAGGATACGGAGGAGCGGTGAACGGGGGAGGGTATGTGGGAGCAGGGTATGCAGGAGGAGGAGGAGGAGGCAGGGGGTTCACATCCCCTCCAGGGGGAGGAGGAGGGGGTGAAAATGGTGGGGCGGCGAGGAGAGGGGAGGTGGTGCCTGTGTGTCTGTCGGAGGTGCGGTTCAGTGAAGGGTCGGCAGACCGGCAGTGGGCTCGCAAGGACTTCGCATGGACGAGAGAACTGGAGGTGAGAGGCGTGGCGTGGTAGTTCCTGGCTTCTTGATCCGCGTGTCTGTGGCCGCAGAATTTGCTTGTGCGAGGAGAGCACTGGATCAGTCACTGGGAGATTCAGAAGTCCCCTCTTTTTCCCCCTTGCTCTTTTTCCCCTCTCTCTCGTATCTCTCCTCCCTCTCGTTTTTCTCTTTCCCCTCCCTCCTCCCTCTCCCCATCCCCACACCCCTCAGGAGCACAACTGGAAGCTGTTTGGCAACCGGTCGTTCCGGGCGAATCAGAGGGAGGTGATGAACGCTCTTTGAGACGTCTCAGAACTCATCTCCTCTTTCTCCTCCTTCCCCCCACTCTTCCTCCTCCCCCTCTCCCCACCCCCACACCCCTCAGGAGAACAACTGGAAGCTGTTTGGCAACCGGTCGTTCCGAGCGAATCAGAGGGAGGTGATGAACGCCACTATGAGCGGCAGAGACGTGTTCGTGCTCATGCCCACGGGCGGGGGCAAGAGCCTCACTTACCAGGTGAGAGGTGGCGTGAGGGGAGGTGAGGTGAGGTGAGGTGAAGGCAGCAGGTAGGAAAGGGAGTCAGTCAGAGATGTCATGTCACCCGGTACAAGCAGACACATGGTGGTAACATGCTTATTAGAGGGAGGTGATGAATGCTGCTATGATGGCAGAGACGTGTTTGTGCTCATGCCCACGGGCGGGTGAAAGAGCCTCACGTATCAGGCTTCCTTTCCTAGCCTTTGCACTTCTCCTCATCCCTTCTCTCACATCTATGAGTTTCCAACCCTCTTTATTCTTCGATTCAGCTCCATACTTCTAAGATTCTGCTGATCATTACCTTAACGTTCATACGCCTCCTCCAATGATATCATATTTCCATTTGCGTCAGCTCCCAGCAGTGTGCTCGCCTGGGGTCACGCTGGTGGTGTCGCCGCTCATCTCCCTCATCTGCGACCAGATCATGCACCTCGAGCAGGTGCGAGGCGAGTTCACGGTTTATGGTTTGAGTTCCATGCATCCATTCTCGTTGAGTGCGAACGCTCTTTGTCTGCCTCTCTCTCCTCTCTGAAGCTGTGGTTTCTTTCTTGGTGCATTGCATGCTCCGAAGAACTACGAGCAACATCCCTGCAGCCTGCTTGAGCATCTGCCATGAGTGGCCGGAGCAAATGCTTCCCGTCCCCACTTCTTAATTCCCCTGCACCTGTGTGCACTGCACTCAACCCCTCCACCGCATGGCAGTACAATATCCCTGCGGCGTGTCTGAGCGCAAGCCAGGAGTGGGAGCAAGTGCATTTCGTCTGCTTCCCTCGACCCACTTCTTCACTCTCTGCACCTGTGTGCACCGCACCCAACCCACCCCTGCACCGCATGGCAGTACAACATCCCTGTGGCGTGCCTGAGCGCGAGCCAGGAGTGGCCGGAGCAGCAGCGCATTCCACAGGAGTTCTGCTCGCTGTTCTGCCAGATCAATCTTGATTGTTTTTCCCCCCACCTCTGTGCACCGCACCCCACTCCCACAGTACAACATCCCTGCGGCCTGTCTGAGTGCGAGTCAGGAGTGGCCGGAGCAGCAGCGCATTCTGCAGGAGCTGTGCTCGCCATGCTGCCAGATCAAACTGCTCTATGTTACTCCTGAGAAGATCGCAAGGTGAGAGAGTGGGCAAGGGGGAGAGTGTGGACGAGGGGGAGAGTGTGGGCGAGGGGGAGAGTGTGGGCGAGGGGGAGAGTGTGGGCAAGGGGGAGAGTGTGGGCGAGGGGGAGAGTGTGGGCAAGGGGGAGAGTGTGGGCGAGGGGGAGAGTGTGGGCGAGGGGGAGAGTGTGGGCAAGGGGGAGAGTGTGGGCGAGGGGGAGAGTGTGGGCAAGGGGGAGAGTGTGGGCGAGGGGGAGAGTGTGGGCAAGGGGGAGAGTGTGGGCAAGGGGGGAAGTTGAAGCTTGGCAGGTGCGAGGTAACAAGCCATCTCTGCTCGCCGTGCTGCCAGATTAAGCTGCTCTATGTCACCGCGGAGAAGATCGTCAGGTGGGAGAATGTGCGGTATAGTGTGAGCAGGCGGGATAGTCTGGGCAGGCTAGTAGGTTCTGGCAAAACATTGCAGGTGCGAGGTTAAGAGTTGTGCTCGCGGTGCTGCCAGATCAAGCTGCTCTATGTCACCGGGGAGAAGATCGTCAGGTGGGGCAGTGTGGACAGGTGGGAGAGCGATGACAGCAGGTGGGTCAGTATTGCGTCGTTAGGAGCCCTGCCCTGCTTGCCATGTTGCTGAGTCAAGCTGCTCAATGTCATCCCAGAGAGGAAAAAATCCACAATTTCCCTTTCAATGTGGCATGAATGTTGTGATTCGTGAGACGTGTCAAGGCGTGCTGAAACTTCCACAACTGCCCTTTCCACGAACCCCATCAGCACTCTTCGCCACCCCCCTTCACCCAGTTCCCCCTGGTTTGCTATTCGTCCTTTCCACAGGAGCGACAACCTATTTCGGCATCTGGAGGGGCTGTACCGGCGGGACCTGCTGGTGCGCATGGTGGTGGATGAAGCACACTGTGTCAGCCAGTGGGGGCATGACTTCCGCCCTGACTACCAGGTGTGCAAATGGGTGAAGTGGGATAGAGATGAGTCAGCGCAAGGGGGACCTGCCGGTGCGCATGGTGGTGGATGAGGCACACTGTGTCAGCCAGTGGGGACATGACTCGACCCGACTACCAGGTGCGACATGTGTGCAGGTGAAGCGAGATAGAATGAATTACCAGTCTGTGAACGAAGGCGTGATACGAGTGAGTGGAAGCGACTGGGTGAGGTCGAGTGAAGCCAAATTGACTGAAGATTTAGCTGCTGGTGTTTCGTGGTGATTGCATGCACCCTTTTGCACCAGTCAGTTGTAGCTTGTAACTTGTAACTTGTAACTCGTAACTCGTAATTCGTGAATGTAACCGCATACGCTTGTTACCCTGGCCCTCTCCACCCTCATCCACCAGGGCCTGGGCGTGCTAAAGAGCAAGTTCCCCTCGGTACCTCTCATGGCACTCACAGCCACGGCCACCCATGCAGTGCTCAAGAGCAAGTCCCCACGCCTCTCTCCCCCCTCTCCCCTCATCCACCAGGGCCTGGGCGTGCTGAAGAGCAAGTTCCCCTCGTTGCCGCTGATGGCACTCACAGCCTCAGCCACCCATGCAGTGCTCAAGAGCAAGTCCTCACGCCCCCCTCTCCTCTCCACCCTCATCCAACAGGCCTGGGAGTGCTGAAGAGCAAGTTCCCCACGGTGCCGCTGATGGCGCTAACAGCCACGGCCACCCATGCAGTGCTGAACAGCAAGTCCCCACGTCCCTCTCTCCCCTCTCCCCTTCTCCGCCAGGGCCTGGGAGTGCTGAAGAGCAAGTTCCCGTCGGTGCCGCTGATGGCGCTGACAGCCACGGCCACCCATGCAGTGCAGGCGGATGTGGTCAGTGCACTGTGCCTCAAGCAGTGTGTTGTCTTCAAACAGACCTTCAACCGCCCCAACCTCAGGTAGGGTCTGAAATCGAATGGACTTAAAAACAAATATGGGAGCGGCACATGACACTCTTCTTGAGCGCCTCAACAAGCATTTGTAGGCATGCGACAGCCTGGGCTGGACGTTTTTGAGAGTTCCCAATATGAAGCCTGTGCTGGACGCCAGGCCCTCGCTCTTCCTCTGTCCGCCCATGTGCCTCACCCCACCCATGTGCCTCACCCCACCCATGTGCCTCAACCCACCCGTTGAATTCTGTGTCTGTGCCTCACCGCAGCCCACCTCACCACATCGCACCTCACTCATCATGATCCTCACGACCGCGCAGGTGCGAGGCAAGGGGCAGCGGTGCATGGACGAAGTTGACTCTGTGTGCCTATGCGCCGCACCGCACCTCACCCATGCCATGTGTGTCTGTGTTCCCGTGTACCTCACCACACCGCACCTCACTGCTCCTGCTCCTGTTCACAATATACCGCACCGCACCGCACAGGTACGAGGTGAGGGCGAAGGGGCGGCGGTGCATGGACGACATAGACTCGTTCATCCGGAGCAGCGGGTTCTTCCGAGAGTCAGGCATCGTGTACTGCCTCTCCCGCAACGACTGCGAGAAGACCGCTGAACAGCTCACTGTGAGTCGAGTTGTACTCACACACAGCAAGTCATAGCTCGGTGCAGGTTGCGGTCAGTGTTCTTCCGAGAGTCAGGCATCGGGTACTGCCTGTCAAGGAATGACTGCGAGAAGCCCGCTGAGCAGCTCACTGTGAGTTGAGTTGTGCTCACACACAGCAAGTCATAGCTCTTGGATGCTCAGAACAGGTTCTTCAGAGAGTCGGGAATCGTGTAGTGCCTTTCCCGCAACGACTGCGAGAAGACTGCTGAACAACTCACTGTGAGTTGAGTTGTGCTCACAGCAAGTCATAGCTAGGTGGGTGCAAGAGGTTGTAGTCAGTGTTTCTTCAGGATGGCATCGTGTAGTGCCTGTCCCGCAATGGCTGCGAGAAGACTGCCGAGCAGCTCACTGTGAGTAGCGCTTGTGTACTGCCTGTCATGCAACGACTGCGAGAAAACCGCGGAGCAGCTCACTGCGAGAGAGTGGCGGTGACAAAAGAGAGGATACGGGAATGTGGATAGTGCTCACAGCAAGTCGTACCTCAAGGCTGCTCTAGCACCATGGCATGGCGTGTGGCATGGCATGGCATGGCATGGCATGTGGCATGGCATGGTGTGTGGAATGGCGTGTGGCATGGCATGTGGCATGGGATGGCATGGCATGGCATGTGGGATGGCAGAAGCTGGGCCACAGAGCGGGGTTCTATCATGCCAACATCGCAGCAGGCGAGCGGGCAGACGTGCAGAGGAGGTGGAGCAAGGACGAGATCAACGTCATCTGTGCCACTGTCGCATTTGGCATGGGTGGGTGTGTGTGGGAGTGGGAGTGAGTGAGTGTGGCCTTCGGCTTGGGTCAGTAACAGTTGTGTGTTCATTTGTTCTACAGCCATAATGCCTTCTCATTTATTAAAACATTTGGAATACTGCTTGGCCTGTTTCCACCCTCCCATCCCCCCTCTCCCATCCCTCCTATCCCATCCCTGTCCTTTCAACTTTCTTCCCTTTCCCCACTCACTACAGGCATCAACAAGCCCAATGTTCGTTTCGTAATCCACCAGGTCACCTGTGCACCGCATTTCACCACTGTCCTTCTCTTCTCCACCACCCCCACCATCTACGAACCCACCACCTATGAGCAAGCACTTGCCTGTCTTGATGCACCTCTCTGGATCGAGGCCATGGTCAAGGAGAGCAACGTCTTCATCAGCAACCGCTCGTTTCTCGACGTCCCTCGTTCCTCTAAGCACAACGTGGTCAAAGGCAGGTGGCTTTTCCGAGTAAAACTACTCCCTGGCGACGCTCCGGTCTACAAGGCTCGATATGTGGCAAAAGGCTTCGCACAGACCTATGGCTCAGACTTCTTCGAGACCTACTCACCCACCGCCACTCCACCGGTCATTCGCGTGTTTTTGGACTTTGTTGGCAGACGCGGAATGGTTCTTCACTCCATGGACGTCACCACCGCCTTTCTGCAAGGCGACCTTCATGCGCTCATTTTCCTGGAACGTCCCAAAGGCTTCCACGCTCCTCACGACCCCACCACTGTTTGGAAGCTGCTACGCCCTGTCTATGGGCTCAAACTAGCACCTCGGGAATGGCACGCCAAACTCTCCTCCACCCTTCGCGCACTTGGCTTTCGCCCCTCCCATGCCACCTCCTACCTCTTCCTGCGCCTCACCCCATCACCCTTCTTCATCCTCGTCTACGTCGACGACATGCTGCTGGCCGCTGACACAGCTGTTGATCTCCAGGAGGTCAAGGATGAGCTGCAGAAATGCCTCGCCTGCAAAGACCTGGGGGAAGTTCGCAACTACATCGGCATAGAGATCACTCGCGACCTCACTGCCAAGACCATCACCCTCTCTCAGTCTTTTTACATCGAGAAGATTCTTGAGAGGTTTGGCATGAAAACCTGCAAACCCATCCCCACACCACTTGCATTCGGGCATCGGCTCTCCCCCCCCCACCACTCCCGTCACCTCCCCTCATCCCTATGCAGAACTTGTTGGGGCCCTGATGTACGCCATGGTCTGCACTCGTCCTGACCTTGCATACCTAGTCAGTTCTCTGGCGCAGTTCGTCGGCACCGGCAGGCATGGTGAAGAACATTGGAAGGCGGCCATGCGTGTTCTTCGCTACCTTCAGGGCACGAAGGACCATGTCCTCACTCTTGGTGGTGTGAACCCGCCCATTCTTCAAGGCTTCAGCGACTCATCTTGGGCCGACGCACAGCCCGACCGTTGCAGCTCTTAAGGATATGGCTTCACACTCGGGGGCGGCCTTATCAGCTGGCGCTCCACCCGCTCCTCTTCCGTTGCCCTCTCATCCTGCGAAGCCGAACTATACGCGGTCACGATGGCGGCTCAAGAGGCACGTTGGCTCAGTTATCTGCTCACCGACCTTGGCTCCCCACAGCCTTGCCCCACCCTGTGGTGTGACAACGACAGTACAATCCACCTCACCAAGAAAGCAGTCTTTCATGGTCGCTCCAAACACAGTGAGCTTCGCTACTACTTTGTTCGCGACCTTGTCCAAGATGGTCACATCACCGTTCACAAAATTGCCTCCTCCGACAACCTCGCCGATCTCTTCACCAAGACTTTCCACCGCTCTGACCACTCTGCGCTTCTACGTCTCCAGGGACTGATTCAAGGGTTGTTACTCTCTCTCTTCTCATGCTTATGGATTTCTGTAGGTTAAGGGGTTGTGTCAGATTACCATCCTCATTGTAACCTACATCAATCCTCTATAAGCTTAGGGTAGAGATAGCCACCCAAACTTAATTTGGATGTAGAACTAAGGGCTAACCCTAGTTGGGGGTTGGAACTCAAACCTTGGCCCCCAAGGTTGGGTTGGGAATTATTGGTCTCTCCAATAATGTTGAACCACTTGGTCAACAGTATTGGTCCCCCCAATAATCTCTCAACCCAACTTATTGGTGGGGGGCAATAATGTTGGCTTGGTTCCAACCAAACCCCCCGTACTATGTATACCCCCATCTCTCCTAATGAAATCAATGGTTCTTCCTCACGTTTTCTCACAACTTCACCATTCTGTGTTGTTCTTAGCCGTTTTCCCTTTCTCCCCCTTCACCCCCCTTCCCCCACTCGCGGCAGGCATCAACAAGCCAGATGTTCGTTTCGTCATCCACCATTCCCTTCCTAAGAGCATCGAGGGGTACCACCAGGTCACCTTTGCATCGCATTTCACCGCACTTCACCATTCCGTGTTCCTCTTCTTGCCCCCGCCCACCCATCACGGCAGGCATCAACAAGCCAGATGTTCGTTTCGTCATCCACCATTCCCTTCCTAAGAGTATTGAGGGCTACCACCAGGTCAGCCGTGCACCGCACTGCGCCACTCTGTGTTGGTCTCTACCACTCGAACTCGATCACAAAAAGCACTCCGAACTTCCCATCACCTCTCTATTTTTTCTCTTTATCCACGGCATTTCACCGCATGAATTCCTGTAACCCTTTGCTGCCGCTTCTTTCGAAAGGAAAGAAAACGATTCATTTCGAGATTCTCTGATTGCGTACGATTTTAGCCCTGCTTGCCAAGGCGAAGTCTCTGTGGCGAAGTCCATCTCTTTCTGCTGCCTCACACAAGTCAATTTTTGAGTCGACTAAAAAACGTTCGCCAAGGCGAAGTCTCTGTGGCGAAGCTTTTGTGGCAAAGTCTTTATGGCGAAGTCGATCTCTCTCTGCTGTCTCACACAATCATTCTGTGGTTGTCCCTTTGCTGGGCTGGCAGGAGTCGGGGCGAGCAGGGAGGGACAACCTGCCTGCCACCTGCGTGCTCATGTACAGCTATGGCGATTATGTGAGCTTATTGTTATAAAACATTGGCAGCTATGGGGATGATTGTACTTCATTATTGATAAAACAATAATATTCTAGTTTCTTGCTGATATGGCACGTGCTTCAGTGGCAACACCAATGTTGCAATGGCTCCTTGGAAACATCTCTCTTGCAATGTATTCTTGGAAACATCTCTCTTGCAATGGCTTGGCCCCTTTCCCCACTTCCTCCTCGCCCCCACCCCCAGGCGCGAGTGAAGAATATGCTGCTGCAGGGAGCGGAGGAGACAGCAGATGGTGGGGGCTGCCTTTTGATTCGACTCAAAAGTAAACTCGCTCCAATGTCACAGGCGCGGGTGAAGCACATGCTGCTGCAGGGAGCGGAGGAGGCAGCACATGGTGGGGGCTGCAGCAGTGCTCCTACTTCCCGTTGCCAAGCACCTCCCCTTTTGTTTCTTTCACTCCACCCTTATCCCCTCCCCTCTCCTCACCCCAGGCGCGGGTGAAGCACATGCTGCTGCAGGGGGCAGCGGAGGCGGCAGGTGGGAGGGGTGGAGGGGGAGGGGGGAGAGGGGGCATGGGGCCGCAGCAGCAGCTGGAAACGAATCTGGACAACCTTCATCGCATGGTGAGTCAGATGCACTGCATGGTGAGTCAGATGCACTGCATGGTGAGTCAGATGCACTGCATGGTGAGTCAGATGCACTGCATGTGAGTCATATGCACTGCATGTGAATCAGATGCACTGCATGGTGAGTCAGATGCACTGCATGGTGAGTCAGATGCACTGCATGGTGAGTCAGATGCACTGCATGGTGAGTCAGATGCACTGCATGGTGAGTCAGATGCACTGCATGTGAGTCAGATGCACTGCATGTGAGTCAGATGCACTGCATGGTGAGTCAGATGCACTGCATGGTGAGTCAGATGCACTGCATGGTGAGTCAGATGCACTGCATGGTGAGTCAGATGCACTGCATGGTGAGTCAGATGCACTGCAGGATGCGTCATCAGCACCTACATGGTGAGTCGCATGGTGAGTGAGCACACTGTTCGCATTTTCCCTTCCCTTCCCCTTTGCCCCCGCCTCCTCTTTCCCCCTGGTTCCGCGTTCCTTTTCGCGCCTATCCCTCCTTGTCCTTACCCCTTGTCCCCCCTCCCCCCACCAGGTGGCATACTATGAGAACGATGTGGACTGTCGGCGCACGGTGCAGCTCTCTCATTTCGGGGAGCGCTTTGACCCCACCCACTGCCGCCGCTCCTGCGACAACTGCTGGCCCCAACTCACACGCTCCTTCCCCTTAGTCCTTTCCATCCAATTCCCCTTGCCCCACTTCCGTTCCACCTTGTCCCCTTTTCCCCTTCCCTCTTCCTCTCCTCCTCACCACCCTTCCACCCCCAGGTGGCGTACTGTGAGAACGATGTGGACTGTCGGCGCACGGTGCAGCTCTCGCACTTCGGGGAGCGCTTTGACCCCACCCACTGCCGCCGCTCCTGCGACAACTGCTGCTAACACACACGCTCCTTCCTTCCCTTTTGTCCTCCCCATTCCCCTCTACCTTCTTCCCGTCCCCCTTGTCCCCCCCACTCTTTCCCCGTTCTCTTCCCACCTCCACCCCCCCTCTCTCCCCTAGGTGGCGTACTGTGAGAACGATGTGGACTGTCGGCGCACGGTGCAGCTCTCTCATTTCGGGGAGCGCTTTGACCCCGCGCACTGCCGCCGCTCCTGCGACAACTGCTGCCGGGACGTTGCCTCCGCGCCCCGAAACATCACGCGCCTGGCCCTGCGCATCGTGAGTTGGAAGCACTTCTGACTCTGATTCTAGCCCTTTTGAAATTTGAGGCGAACCTGCCTGAGTTTGAGTTTGAGTTTGAGTTTGAGAATTCTCAAAAACCTTATGAATTTGAGGCGAACCCGTCTGAGTTTGAGTTTGAGTTTGCATCCTCCTTGCCATCCCTGTGACTCACTCTCGCCTCTCCGCCACTCCCATGCGCCTCGCCTCTCACCACAGATATCTCTCATTCGTGACACGGGGGAGCGCCACACCCAGCAGTACATCCTTGACCTCCTGCGTGGCTCTGCCAGTGCCCAGGTACGCATGGATCATCTGCCACTTGTGAGCAGGCAGCGTGAGCAGCCAGCCAGCAGTGGCAGTAATACACTCACACGCCTGCATGGCTGGGCCCCACCAGCACCCAGGTGCGGCCTGGATCCTCCGCTCCGCAGTACCCTACCCTCACCTCACCCGCGAGAGGTTCCTTCCTGCGATGAAGGGCTTTTGAGGTGCCTCCAGTGGAAGCCACCTTTCCCGGCCTAAAGCATCCCCTTCTTTCCCCACCCAACAGTCCAGGTGAAGCGCAATCGGAGCGCAGCTCTGGCCCAGTGAACGACTTTTGAGGCCCCTTAAGCGAACCCACGCCTCCCTCCCCTCCCCTCCCTCCCTCTCCCTCCCCTCCCTTCCCCTTCTCTTTCTCCACTCCCCTCCCCCGCATCTCTCTCTTTCTCCCCCATTCCCACTTCACTACCCAGCCCAAGGTGAAGTGCAATGGGCACGCAGCTCTGGCACAGCAGATGTCTTTTGAAGCGCCTTTTCCAAGTCCCCTCCCCATCCCTCCTCCCCACCGCTCTCCACTTCACGGCCCAGGTGAAGCGCAATGGGCACGCAGCTCTGGCGCAGCGAATGGCGGAGGAGAATAAGGCGGGTGGCGGGGACGAGGAGGAGGGCGGGGCGGCAGGGGGGTGGAGCCGGCGGGACATGGAGCGGGTGGTGCGACACCTGGTGTGCGTGGAGGTGGTGCGGGAAGACATAAACAAAAGCGAGGCGTATGGGTCTATCTCCTCAGTGCTGCGAGTGAGTGTAACAACTTCCCTTTTTAACACACATGCGTGTCACCCTCTGGAGGGGGACATGGAGCGCGAGGTGCAGCACCTGGTGTGTGTGGAGGTGGTGCGGGAAGACATCAGCAAGAGCGAGGCGTATGGCTCTATCCTGTCTCTACTCCGGGTGAGTGTGTGCTACTTTATGGCTTGATGCTGCATGGAGCGAGTGGTGCAGCACCTGGTGTGTGTGGAGGTGGTGAGGGAAGACATCAGCAAGAGCGAGGCGTATGGGTCCATCCTCCTTCGCTGCTCCGGGCGAGTGTCTGTCCTGCACTGCACTGCCAGCCAAGCATGTGCGTGGCTCTGTTGGGTTGGGATGAATGAATTGCCTGCACATGGCACGCGCGGTTGGCAAAGGGGGACATGGAGCTGCGGGCGGGGGACGTAAAGCGTGTGGTTGCCATTGCCTTTCTCATGCATTTCCATCCTCGCTGCTGCTTTCTGCAGGTGAACGACAGCAAGGCAGAGGCGCTATTCTCAGGGAAGCTTCACCTCACTCTCAGGTGCGTGCTCATGCCCACTCCCTGCTGAGTAAACTCAGCTCTTTTCAGTTGGCTCAAGTGACACCTCACTCACTCGCACATGCGCCTGTGCTTCCCGCGGACCCCACAGGCTCTTTGCAGTTGGTTGCTTCCCGCGGACCCCGCACCCCGAGTCAATGCACCCCTGCTTCGCTCACTCCCCTTCCCTGCCCACTCTCCCCCATCCCGTTTCTCCGCGCTTCTCGTATCAGCTCGTGACATCTTTCTTCTACTCCCTTTTCGCTTATTGGTCTGGTTTCTTGTCTTTCTAAAAATGGAAATGTCCCATTCAACGCTTCTATGCCTCTGTAATCTTTTATGTCACTCATCTTTCGTCATCTTGCCACACACACTGAACGGTGCTGTGAGGGAGCACCCCTGTACCCATAATGCACAAACAGCTTGTCAAGATTCACACACACACATACTCACAGTTTTGAAACAGATTACATTTCGGTACGTCACAGCTAGCCAAGTTCCACAAACACACACACACTCTTACATTCAAGAGCTTTTCCACCTACCCATGCCTCTCCCACCACAGCTTCCCCATTCAGAAACGACCTGACTCCGCACAGGTGTCAATTGGTGCAGGCAGGACCACATCACCTGCTGCTGCCACCGGCGTCACCCCCACCAGCAAAGCCGCAGGCAGCAGGGGCAGGAGGCAAGCCAGAACCAGGAAAGGCGCTACTGCTGCTTCTGCCAATGGGTCTACAGCTGGCACCATAGGAGGAGGGAGTGGCGTGGAGGCAGATTCATGGGCTGATGAGATTGATAATGGTGATGATGGTTCTGGTGATGTGAGATGGTCCGGTGGTGCTGGTAACAGGGGGTTCTCTTCTGGCGTTGGTGGGGGAGTTGAGCAAACGGAAGGAGCACAAGGAGCAGAGGGAACAGCAGGAGCAGGGAAGGGGTTTCAGCAGATGGCTGCTGCGGCGGCTGCTGCTGTGGACTCGGCTGCGCCCTTTTCGCCACCCAAACAGGCGGCTGATGTGGTGAGCAGAGCTGAGCTGAGATGTGACGGAAGATCTGCTGTGACCTTCACTGTGATTCACACTGCTACTGCTTGACTGAGAGGGTGACAGGAAGCAGAAACGGCACACTCGAGTGTTTTTTTTTCTTTCTTTCTTTCTTTCTTTCTTTCTATTCTGGTTTTTTTTCTTTCTTTCCCGTGTGCCCCCCTCACTCGTTAATTGTAAATGCCCCACTTTATGCTTATTCAATCAGGCCTTGGATTTTAACTTGAAGGTTGCATGCAACAAAATTAGAATCAAGTGCTGGAACTGTGAAAATCTGTCCTCTCCTCTCCGTGCACTGCACACTGGCTCTGATTCCTCTTCCCTCCACCCTCCCTCTCTCCCTCTTCTCAGGTGCTGTCAGGGGCGGTGTACAAGGCACTGCACGCGTTGAGGCAGACCCTGGTGCAGGAGTCGGGCAAGAACCTCGCACCCTACCACATATTCGGGTGAGAGAGCCTGACTGCTTGCTGAATGCGTTTTCGAGGCATAATATAAAAAACGCGTTGAGGCAGACACTGGTGCAGGAGTCGGGCAAGAACCTCGCACCCTACCACATGTTCGGGTGAGTGGAGTGGGGCTGCTTGCCTGCTGCGTGCATCTGGTGCGTGCATCTGGTGCGTGCATCTGGTGCGTGCATCTGGTGCGTGCATCTGGTGCGTGCATCTCCTGCGTGCATCTGGTGCGTGCATCTGGTGCGTGCATCTGGTGCGTGCATCTGGTGCGTGCATCTGGTGCGTGCATCTGGTGCGTGCATCTGGTGCGTGCATCTGGTGCGTGCATCTGGTGCGTGCATCTGGTGCGTGCATCTGGTGCGTGCATCTGGTGTGTGCATCTGGTGCGTGCATCTGGTGCGTGCATCTGGTGCGTGCATCTGGTGTGTGCATCTGGTGCGTGCATCTGGTGCGTGCATCTGGTGCGTGCATCTGGTGCGTGCATCTGGTGCGTGCATCTGCTGCGTGCATCTGGTGCGTGCATCAGGTGCGTGCATCTGCTGCGTGCATCTGGTGCGTGCATCTGGTGCGTGCATCTGGTGCGTGCATCTGCTGCGTGCATCTGGTGCGTGCATCTGGTGCGTGCATCTGGTGCATGCATCTGGTGCGTGCATCTGGTGCGTGCATCTGGTGCGTGCATCTGGTGCGTGCATCTGGTGCGTGCATCTGGTGCGTGCATCTGGTGCGTGCATCTGGTGCGTGCATCTGGTGTGTGCATCTGGTGCGTTCATCTGCTGCGTGCATCTGCTGCGTGCATCTGCTGCGTGCATCTGCTGCGTGCATCTGGTGCGTGCATCTGGTGCGTGCATCTGGTGCGTGCATTTGGTGCGTGCATCTGGTGCGTGCATCAGCTGCGTGCATCTAGTGCGTGAAGGAATATATTAGAGAGCGTAGCGATAACGAGAGAGATTCTGCTATGGGAATGATGTTGCGCCAGCAACTTGGTAGAGTTTCGGTAGCGTTTGCCTCTTAGGACTTGGTGAGAATTGAAGTAGCATTTGGACTTCACTAGGAATATAGAATATATCAAACACACAAGCAAACACAAACATATATAGGCAGGCGAGGGTTTCACAAGAGGTTGCGTGGGCGGTGCGAGTAACCCAACCCCACGAAAGTGGTGTGTGGGTGAGCGAACGCGCCTCGCCAATTTCCCAACCCAACTCAGCATCGACTTCTCGCTTCCGTGCACACCACTCCACCAACACAGCAAGGAGTGGTGCGACTCTCAAGGAAGCACCAACAACTCCCACGGACTCTCGCTTCTTCATGCGAACTCCTGCGCAGTTGCACATAGTCACACGTAGTCACACCCGACCTCCACCGAACTCATTCGACGGTGCCGAGTAGACTCAGTCGTTAGGCGCCGACCTGCCAAGTCCAAGGTCAACGAAGGCCATTGCTGTCGTAGGGCCCTCTAACACTCCCCTGCCATACTATAGCAAGGCCCTTTATAATCACAGGGCATGCATACCTACATACACGCCAAAACAAAGGGAAACACACACAAACGAAGCACTCTCAAAGTGAAAACACGCACCGCACCAGCCATGGATAGGCCATGGCACCATCCACATCATGGAGTGTCTAGGTCTCACTCCCCTTGCTCGAGAGCCGCACCTGCCCCACAGCCTCGAAGCAACGACTGAAGGCGGGGAAATGCAATGCCTTTGTGAGGTAGTCAGCAGGCTGGTCGCTCGTAGGGATGTACTGCAGCTGCAGCTTCCTGCGCTTGACCATGTGCTGCAGCCACATGTGACGACGCTCCATGTGCTTGAGGCTCCCCTTGAGCCCCATGCCACCTGCCACTGAAATGGCGGAGGAGTTGTCCACATAGAGAGTCGTGGGCTCCTCACTCCTCAGCAGTTGAAACTCTGCCAGCAGGAAGCGCAGCCTGCGCGCCTCCTTCCCAGCCTCCACAGCAGCAACGTACTCAGACTCAGTGGAGGAAAGGGTGGCGCAACGAATCCGCTGGCTCGCCCATGAGACAGCAGCACCCCCGAGCACGAAGACATAGCCACCTGTGCTGGTCCTTTTCTTCTTGTCCCCTGCATCATCAGCATCAGCGTAGCCCACCAGCTCCAAGGACTCCGGCCCACCACCAAACTCCAGCGCCACATCCCTGCTCCCCACCAAGTACGTCAAGCACCGGTCCAACTCCTTCCAGTGCTGATCACTCCGCACGATCTGGCCCGACCCCAGCTTGCTGCAGGCGAACGAGATGTCGGGACGGGTGGTACAGGCCGCGAACTGCAAGGATCCCACCTTCTGCCTGTACTCCTCCTCCTGGCGAGACTGCCATCCCACATCCTCGAAGGTCTGCACACTGAAAGGGATAGAGGAAAGAGGGGTGCGAGGCACTCGCAGCGGCTGCTCCCCGTTAAAGAAGCGCCTATGGACCTTGTCCACATAGGCCCCCTGGTGCAGCCACAGCCTCCTCGTGGGCCTGTCCCGAATCAGCTGCAACCCCAGATATTTCTCCACAGGGCTAATCTCCCGCAGCTGAAAGGCACTCTGCAGCAGGTCACGCAGCTCCGCTAGCATGCTCTGACTGCGGCTGGCAGCAAGCAGGTCATCCACATACACCAACAGCCAGCACATCTCCCCCTTAGCATCAGTCTTGAAGTACAGAGCCTCATCCACCTTGCTCTTCTTCCATCCAGCCCCAAGGAGCACCCCATCCAAGGCCTCATACCATAGCATCGGGCTTTGCTTGAGCCCATACAGACTCTTCACCAACTTACAGACACGAGGAGTCCCATCCTCGTAGTAGCTCGGCTGCTCCATGTAAAGGTCTCGGTCCAGCACGCCATGGAGGAACGCGTTCTTCACATCGAGCTGCATCAGGTCCAGATCAAGTGCAGCTGCAATCGCCAGAAGCACACGCGCCGTCACATAGCTTCCCACAGGGGCGTACGTCTCCTCATAGTCCACCCCTGCCACCTGCGTGAACCCCTTCACTACCAGCCTCGCCTTCTCACGCTCCACTATCCCATCAGGTTGGAACTTGGTGTTCAAAATCCAGCGGTTCTTCATCACATTCACCCCTGGCGGACGCGGAACCAACTCCCACGTCCCCTGCTCAATCAAGCTCCGCATCTCCTCATCCATTGCCTCCTTCACCTTGTCTCCCTTCCAGCAGCCCAAGGCCTCCTTCACTGTCATTTTCGCTATGTCCCACTGCCTCTCAGGATCAGCTGCCACGTCCGGGTCCAGGTTAGTCCACTCCTCGTCCTCCTCCTCGTCATCCAAGCCCGCTGGCTCAACCACTACAGCCCATGCGTATCGAACAGGCGGGACACCACGAGTGATGCGAGTGGAGCGACGCAGTGGTGCAGTGATCGTCCCAGAAACCAACACACGACCACCATCTCTAATTCCCCACATCTCCTGCTCCCCTGTCTGCGGCTCCCCTGTCTGCTGCTCCCCAATCTGCTGCTCCCTTGTCTCCTGCACCCCACTCTGCTGTACTCCATCCATACTGCTCACGTCCTGCAGCTGCTCAGTCTCAAGGTGTTGCCCGTCGGTGATCTCCACAGACGGTGGCACCTCCATCCCCCCCTCACCAACGGGCGGCGCCGTGGAAGACGAAGAAGAGGGCGGAACAGGTGCAGGAGGGATGGAGGGTGGAAGGGGAGATGGAATAACAGGAGGAGGAGGGGAAGCCAAGGGGGGTGAGGAGGGAAAAAGCGGGACAGGGGGAATCATACAAGGGTAGACCGAAGGCGGAGGTGGAGTGGGGACCGAGGTAGGGACATAGGGCATAGCAGGAGGCGCGACCACCTCCTCCTCCTCCTCCGCCTCCTCGAGAGTGATCGGGAAGAGGGAGGGAAAGGGCTCATAGGGCATCAAACGCCCCCCATGCTCGTGCTGATGCCAAGCCTTCCATCCTGCTAAGGACATGGTCTCATAGAACACAGCTTCCACAGTGGTGATGAGGCGGTTGGACTCCAAGTCCAGCACGGCCCAGCCCTTGCTCGCAGCTGACACACCCAAGTGCAACCCCCAGCGAGCCTTAGGCGCCAGCTTCCCCCCACGCTGCGACTGTGGTACCATGTACTGCAGCATGCAGCCCCAAACACACACCATACTGACGTCAGGTTTGCGTCGGAAGGCAAGCTCGTACGGCGTCACACCAGAGGGTAGTGAGGCGTGCTCCACGCGGTTGCGCACCCAGACGGCCTGAGCCAACGCCAGGTGCCACCAGTGATGCTGCACACCCATGTGCAGCAACATCGTCCGCACCGCCTCCACAATGCTGCGCATCTCCCTCTCGGCCATCCCGTTCTGCTCCGGCGTGTACGGGCATGTGAGGTCATGGGTGATGCCTTTACCGTCGAGGAAGAGCGTGAAGTCGTGCCCCAGGAACTCGCCACCCCGATCAGTGCGCAGCGCTTGCACCGTGGTCTTGCACTTTCGCTCTGCCATCGGGAGCCACTTCTGGAACGCCGCCAGCGCATCACTCTTCTGGGCCAAAGGGTAGGCCCAGACATATCGCGTCTTGCGATCCTTCAGCACCAAGAAGTAGCGGCTGCCGTCCTTAGCTGCTTCACGGAAAGGGCCACACAGGTCAGCATGCACCACCCCGAGCAACTGATCCTCCTCCTCTCCCACAGAAGGAAAGGTATGACGAGTGATCTTTCCCCCAACACAGGAGACACAAGGTATGCCTGACTTGCCCCCCTTCTCCAAATCCAAGCCCTTCACTGACCCGTGAGCCGCTGTGCGCTCGATGGCATCAATACCAACGTGTGCCATATGCGCATGCCACAGGCCCCCCTTAGACCGTACGCCCGTCGCCAAGGTACGAAGTGCCACCGTTTCGCCTTCCTGCTGCTGCGTCGAACACGGCTGGAAGTTCGTGCAGAGAACACGCCCCTTGAACTCGGCACGACCAAGGAGCGATCCATCTGGTGCCCGCAGCAAAGTCACATCCCCGGCATCCAGCAGCTGCACACCACTATCACGCAGCTGCCCAGCAGAGAGAAGACTCGCGTGCACTCCTGGTACGTACAGCACGTCCGGCACCAAGACACGCCTGCCCCCCTCTCCAAGAAGAGCGACTGTGCCCCGCCCCTGGACCTCCTGAAGCGCGCCGTTGAAGCCAGTAACCTGTTTAATACTGCCGCCGCTGCTCATCTCCACAAAGGCAGAACGATCTCCCATGAGATGGTGGGAGCATCCGCTATCAAGCAGCACGACGCTCGGGTTCGCCTTCACAGCAGTTGCAACAGCCTGTAAGCCCTCCCCGGCCTCAGGCTCTAGTACAACGAGAGGAGTCTGCTCCACAACGGGCTTCACCATTGCACATGATGATTGCCCGCTCCCCTTAGAGCCATCACCCCCCTTTCCGCTGCTACCTCCAGAACCCTCTCCACCGGTGTCTGCCTCCTTATCCGCCCGCTGCTGACAGTACTTAGCAACATGCCCTATTTGTCCACACACATAGCACTTCCCCTTGAAGCCCCCTTTCCCTCCCTTCGGCTGGCCATCCTTGCCCCCTTTCCACTTCTCCCCTCCCCCACCAAGCCCACCCCCATTCTTAGGCTGCTGCTGCTGTGCCGTAGTGGGAGGGGAAGGGAATGAAGTTTGCTGGAATTGGGGCTTACCCTTCTTGGTAAAGACCTGGTTCGCCTGGGGAAGGAATTGGTCCTTTCGTCCCTCTGCCGCCAGCGTACACTCCTCCTCGATGATGTAGCTAGCGAGGGTGTCCTCGTCCAACTCCTTGCACACCTGCGGCAGCTTCAGCATCCTGCGTAAGAGGTTGTACTGCTGCGGCAACCCCTTCACAACGTGAGTGATGTACGACGCGTGCGAGTAATCTTCGCTGGCCATCCTCAGGTTCACTAGGATCTGCTGCGCACGGTTGCAATAGGACGTAGCGGACTCGTGCTCTCCCATTTCGAGGTTAGTGAGCGCCTGCTCTAACTGACCGATGTACAGATCGTCCTTCGCCATGTACGTGCGCATAATAAACTGCCATGCCTGATAGCCGGCATCGACCTTCATGCGACACGCCTTAAGGGCGATCTGTACGGTTGGGGAGCAGCATCGGGAAATGGTGGTGAATGTCAGCAACTGCATCGCGCGGAACTGAGAGAGATGCGCAAGCGCACGCGCTGGTGGAATGGGGGTGGTGCCATCTATGAATCGCTTTGGCTGAGCGATCTCAAGCTGCGGCTCGATTGATTCTGTCCACGTCGACAGGTCGCGGCGTCCTTCTAACGGCCTAGTGACAACGATCTTGTCTGGAGTGAATCTGAAGTAGCCATAGTTGGGGGCTATTCCCTCGTCCCTCGACATCGATCCTATTGGGGTAACGCCCGGCATAGCCTCACTATCAAACTCTTCCGCAATTCCTCCTCCAGCAACGCTCCGCCGTCCTACATTCGCATGCTCTCGTGACGCTGCTGCACGATGAACACGCTCCTGTACACCGCCAACGCTAGCCGTACTAAACCGAGTTGGTCCTCGCAGGACCCCACGCGACATCAACCCATCAAACTCCTCGTCATCGCTGTTTCCGCCATTGACAGCCATATCCCTCGCACTAGTACCTCCCGCAACTTGCTCAACATTCTCTACACGTGGCGAAGGGTGCTCACGACGCCGACGCGAGCGCAATCCCTCCAACATTAGCTCGTATTCGATATCACTAATCTCACCACGAGAATGACGAGGCACGAGATCCTCCTTAGGGCGCGCAAATTACCGGCCTCCACGTTCGCCTCCTCTGTACTCATCCTCTACGACGTCTCTTAAGGCACCACAAATTAAATTAAGTGTCCCTTCCTTAAATCCCTCGTCTCGGGGTCACCTCACAAGGGTCCTCAGACGAGTGGTAATAAATCACCAAACGCCCTATCCTTGGGTCCGAGAACGTAACTGGAGGGAAATCAAGAGAGGTTCAACTTAGATTAATAAGCGCCCTTCACTAACGCCGCACGCCAAGGCGAGTATACGAACGCGAATATCAACGACGATGGAAATCTATGCGTGTTCGTTCCACGCTCACCGCACCATGAAGGAATATATTAGAGAGCGTAGCGATAACGAGAGAGATTCTGCTATGGGAATGATGTTGCGCCAGCAACTTGGTAGAGTTTCGGTAGCGTTTGCCTCTTAGGACTTGGTGAGAATTGAAGTAGCATTTGGACTTCACTAGGAATATAGAATATATCAAACACACAAGCTAACACAAACATATATAGGCAGGCGAGGGTTTCACAAGAGGTTGCGTGGGCGGTGCGAGTAACCCAACCCCACGAAAGTGGTGTGTGGGTGAGCGAACGCGCCTCGCCAATTTCCCAACCCAACTCAGCATCGACTTCTCGCTTCCGTGCACACCACTCCACCAACACAGCAAGGAGTGGTGCGACTCTCAAGGAAGCACCAACAACTCCCACGGACTCTCGCTTCTTCATGCGAACTCCTGCGCAGTTGCACATAGTCACACGTAGTCACACCCGACCTCCACCGAACTCATTCGACGGTGCCGAGTAGACTCAGTCGTTAGGCGCCGACCTGCCAAGTCCAAGGTCAACGAAGGCCATTGCTGTCGTAGGGCCCTCTAACAGTGCGTGCATCTGGTGCGTGCATCTGGTGCGTGCATCTGGTGCGTGCATCTGCTGCGTGCATCTGCTGCGTGCATCTGGTGCGTGCATCTGGTGCGTGCATCTGGTGCGTGCATCTGGTGCGTGCATCTGGTGCGTGCATCTGGTGCGTGCATCTGGTGCGTGCATCTGGTGCGTGCATCTGCTGCGTGCATCTGCTGCGTGCATCTGGTGCGTGGGTTTTCCTTCCCTTCTCTCCTGCGCTCTGAGCGGCACAGCACGGCAGCAACGTGCCAGTACGCTACACTTGTTCTATCGAGTCTCATTTTCAGTCGGACCACAGCCTCCTCACCTGTGCTTCTCGTCCACTTGTGCAAGCCAGCTTGTTGTAGCCACACTATGCTCTCTCCGTCCCCCCTCTGCCCTTCTCTTCTCAGCAACGCCCAGTTGGTTTTCTTATCAGTCAGCACCTGCCCTGCACGCTCACCTGCTTTTCCCCTCCATTCTTCCCTCACCCCCTCGCTTCATTCCTTCCCACCTTAACTTGTCTCGCCCCACCCTTTCCCCCCATCACAGCAACGCGCAGCTGGTGCTTATCAGTCAGCGCCTGCCCCGCACTCTCGACGCGTTGCAGGAGATTCCGGGCATTGGCAGGTGGGTGTTTGGGACCTGGGTGGGCGGAAAACGGTGGCGTTATTCCCAGCATTGTCAGAGGGGTGGGCAGGAGATGGGTGGGCAGAGCTAGCTGTTGTTATGTAGCTGTGAGTGCAGAGTGAATGCAAATGCGCTCAGGTATTCATGTCCATCATCCTCCCACCTTTCCCTTGTACCATCTTCTTGATGCTTCCCTCTGCTCCCCCCGCTCCCACCTCTTTCCCTCTCCCCCCGCTCCCTCCTCTCCCTCCTCTCCCTCCTCTCCCATGTCCCCTCACAGAGTGAAGGTCAACAAGTACGGTGCCCGTGTGCTGGAAACTATTGAGAGGCTTATCAAAGAGCACAAGGCGGATGCCGGAGACATCAGCAACGACCGTAACAGCAAACCTCCTGAGTTATCTTCTGACCAACCAACTGATACACGGAATGCACCTGTCAACTCCACTGCGGGTTTTCCAACCCCTGCTAATGTGAATTCTGCTCCAAAGGTGTCGGAAAACCCCCAGTATTTCTCCTCTGACTTGACTACACTGAAAAGGAGCCTTTCGAGTGAAGGTTCTGGCAATCCGGTGCCCCCTGGTGCTGATGGTGAGGGGAAAATGGCTGCTAGCATTGGTGCTGCTGACGGGGGGTATGCAGGAGGGCATGTTAAAGTTGGTTTGTCGGGACGAAGCGCAAAGAGGGCTCGAGCGAGTGACGAAAGCGGAGGGGATTGTATCGAGGTGGTTAATGTGGAGGATGTTGGTGGGGCTGGGGAGGAATGGCGAAGTGGAAGGGAGGTGTTGGGGGATGGTGGTGGGGGAAGTGGAGGAGGGAGGGCCAAGGGTGTTGTTGGTAATGGGGTTGCAGTGAATGGGGCGACGATTGAGATTGATGGCAAGACAGGATCAGATTCGTTGTTTTCTGAGTATGTTTTTCGAAAAAGATGGAGCTGAGGGCTCTGTGCACAAACATTATTGCTCATTATTTTTGTTCTGTTATATGCTGAGATTGTGAAGTGGTCATGTCCTCTGCTCAGCAATGTCTTCATCGCGTATGGGCTGAATTCCTCCTGATTTTTGCTAGGCTGCTGCTTCACGTCCAGGCCTGTCGATTCAAGGGCATATGCCCTTAATGCCCTGAACATTCTGGGCTACTATCGCTCCAGCTCGACTGCCAAAAGTTTTAGATTCGCACTGCACCCGTGCCACTAAGTGCCGCGCTCGACCCTTCCCCGGATGCGTGAAGGGCCCAAACAGGGCCTTCCCCTGTCTCGAAGTTTTGGTTTCTGGTTGTAGGACTCACCACCCCCCCAAATTCTGCCTGACCCCGCCCCCTTTCTCCTTAGGTTGCACGAGAGGAGTGGATTTTTCCCTTAGCGTTTTCTGGCCAATCCTGTGTTTGTAAAGCGTCTTAGTCAGCTTGGAGCACCCGAATTGTCCCTTATTGTCTAAGTGTCCCCCCCCCCCTTTCCTCCTTGGGTTGCAAGAGAGGAGTGGATTTTTCCCTTGGCGTTTTCTAGCCATCCCATGTTTGAAAGTCAGCTTAGAGCACCCAAAATTTCCCTTCGCGTCTAAGTGCAAACTCTTCACAGGCCCAGATGTTAACTTTTCACTTTGGGGTGCGCCCGTGACCGTTAAGGGCGCCCAAACGCTCAGCTACACCAAAAACAGGGTCAGATGGGGAGGAGCTGGGGAGCGCAAGTATGGGTCTCAGGAACTTCGACAGGCCTGTTCACGTCCACTTCGTTCGATCGCCCTTGGGATTGCCCGATTTCCGTTCTAGTCTCCACGGTACCCCTCCGCCTTTCATTTGTGCTGCTTCACACACAAATTCAGTGTCAGGGACCACCACGCCACTCGAGTACAAGGCGCTTCTGTTCTGAACTACGAATCTGGTGCCTTGCTCCCGAGTAATGCGACGCGAAGGGTCGAAGCACACGAACCACGAGGCTCTTGCGAAAGAAACCGGCTCTCCGCATCCAGAGAGCCGGTTAGGAGGTTAGAAACGCGTCGCTTTTCGCATGGACTTATCGTCCGTCCTGCGTACGATTGCTGTCCCTTCCCCATTGCACCGTGGGTGCGCAGTTTTCATCTAATAAAGTTTAAGATTTCTCAAAAGCATAGCGCCGCCGAACGCGCGCCGATTCGACGAGTATCCTAGACTTACTCCTCCAGCCATGTGGCCGGTTCCACTGACGGCGATTCTTGCCCTCTCCGCCTTTTGCGGAGGAGGATCCGGGCCGGATTTAGCGGCCGCAGATAGAGTGTCAAAAGCCACGGTGTCAGAACGCGTTAGAGTGTCGAATCGCGAGGAGTTTCACGAGCGGCTGATGCTCGAGCCGCTGCCAGATGGCCGCGTGTTGGCGCACTTCGCGTTCGAAAGCCGGCTGCGGGAAATGCGGCCAACGGGAGAAACGCGAGGAACGCGAGGAGCGGAAGGAGGGGAAAGTTCCGCGGATACGGTTCTGTTCCCCCCGGCCATCCTGCACCTCGTAAGCCGCGTGGCCATGGGAGGATCCGCGCGCCGATGCCGGCTGCTCTCCCCACGAGTTCGAACGCCTCGTCAATGGCTCGTTATCCCCGTTGCGCCCTCGTATTATCCGCGTCCTCGCATTCTCCCATTATCCGCGTCCTCGCATTCTCCCATTATCCGCCTCAACGCGCATTGCTCCTCATGCAAATTCTCCGAATCACCTCCTCCAGCCTTCCCCCATCCCCTCCTCCCATCCTTCCCCCATCCCCTCCTCCCATCCTTCCTCCTCCTACGCCCTCATCCTCTCCCCCGTCTTCCCTCCTCCCTCCCCCCTACTCCCTCCTTCCCCCCATCCCTCCTGCCAGGTGCAATCCTTGAGCGTGCGCCATTTCTTGCTCTCTCTCACACACGGCAACTGGGACGTGCAGCAATGGGGTACCCCCTCCTCCTCCTCCTCCTCCTCCTCCTCCTCCTCCTCCTCCTCCTCCTCCTCCTCCTCCTCCTCCTCCTCCTCCTCCTCCTCCTCCTCCTCCTCCTCCTCCTCCTCCTCCTCCTCTCTCCCCCCTCCCCCGCCTCTCTCACACCAAGAGTACGACGTCAGGCCGCCAGGGGCGGAGCTGGTAGCGTGGATGGGCGGAGAAGGCGGGAGTGAGGTGAGGGGAAAAGGGAAAGGGAAAAGGGGAAACAGTGGGGAAGAGTTTTGTGAGATTTTGAACTGGATTTCTGAGTCAAATGGATATATTTATATATGTATATATTTGTATATATATGTATATATATATGTATATATGTATATATGTATATATGTATATATGTATATATGTATATATGTATATATGTATATATGTATATATGTATATATATGTATTTATATATGTTTATATATGTATATATATATATATCTGATTCTGCACTGTTGTCACACCATTGGAGCTGAATGCTTCATGTCGACCTTCTCCCCATCACTTGCATCATCCCCCATCCCTTTCTCCCCTCATGCCCGTCTCCCCTTTCCTCTCCTCTCGTCCCATGCCAGCTGGACGCCACGTGGCACAACCTCACCGACGCCCTGGCAGGGCTGTTCTGTGCCTCGCTCAACTTCCTGCAATCCCCCTCCTCCGTCGTCTCTCCCGCTCTTCACTTCCACACCCCCTTCCCTCTCCCCGCAAACCACACCCACTCACCATCTCAACCCCAATCCTCTTCCTCCGCCTCCTCCTCGCCACCGCCGGACCAGCCGCCGGGCCTGCACGTGAGGTACGGGAGCATGGCTCGGGAGCCAGTGTGCACGGAGAACCTGACGCCGTGGCTGAAGCTGCTGCCGTGCCGTGACGCGGCAGGCCTCTCGTCTCTCATGGACCGCGGGGCCGTGTTTGGCGGCCGCTACCACTCCATGCACACTGCCGTGTGGACCCATGTGTGCGATGAGGGTAGTGTGGTCGAGGAGGGGAGTGTGGGAGAGGGAGGGAGTGTGGGAGAGGGAGGGAGTGTGTGTGGTGTTGCTGAGAAATCCTCTTCCTCATCCTCTTCATCCTCCTCCGCGACTTCCCCCTACATCTCCCCCGCCACGCCTGCCTGTGCCAGTGTGACATGGGCTGTGGTGCTGCACCAGTCGCTCACAGTCGTGCTCGATGCCTCCACTGAGAACGCCCTTGCCGCCGCTGCAGCTGCAGCTGCCACCAAACCCGTCCCCTCTGCTCCTTCCAATTCAGCAGGTGCAGCGGCAAAAGAGGGGCTTGATTTGAGTGATGTGCTTCCGCTGCTGCCTGATTGGAGCGTGGGTGCGCTGTTTGGGCGGCAGCTGACGTCAGTGTGTCCCCTTGCCACGTCAACTGACGTGGCAATAAGAGTGCCGTCCGGTCTCCTCTGCCCCGCGGCTCAACTCAGTGCTGGTGCAGCAGGAGGTGCTGCCGCTGTTTCTGCCACTGCTGCTACTGTTAACGCTGCTGCTGCCACTGCTGCTGCCTGTAATAGAGGTGACAGTGACAGGAGTGCCTCTAAAGTGGGGTGGGCGACTTTCCTCAGGAGCAATGCAGTGTTTGGCCTTGAGGGGAAGTGGAGGGTGAGAGTGCAGGAGAGAGATGGTGCTGTGCCGTCAGGGGATTCAAGTGCAGAAGACATGGGGGGAATGGGGGACGTCAGGGGAATGGGGGGCGTGAGGGGAATGAGGGGCGTGCAGCAAGTGGAAGCAGTGCTGCTGCATCGTGACATGCGCCGCCATCAAGGGCATGCCTCTACCTCTGCCTCTGGCGCTGATGCAGCTGCTGCCCATGTTGCTGATGTGGGTGACGTGGCAGCGGTCAGCTCGGCAGGCATTCACTGGAAGCGGCGCGTAGCGTGGCAGCGGCGGCCGGCGCTGTTTGTCCTTTCCCGGTTCACCACAGGCACAGGAGACGCCCTGGGGGGGCTGACGTTCCTCATACAGAGAGCGCGAGGAGCAGGGAGCGGTGCACGAGAATGTGGTACTAAAGTAAATAATGATTCTGCCAACACAGGGAGTCAGAGCGGGGAGTGTAGAAGCGGCACAGTGAGCGACACAGGGAGCGATGCAGGGAGCGACACAGGGAGCGATGCAGGGAGCGACACAGTGAGCGTGTTCCAGGCGGTGCCGTGGTGGCTGAAGCTGTACCTGCACACGCTCTCTCTCTCCTTCGACCACCGCCCTGTCAGCCTGAGGGACAGCAGTGCGCTTGTAGCGGCGCGGCTACAGCCGACGAGGGAGAGAGGCCCGCCCGCTGTGCTGGAGCTGCTGCTGCGCGTGCCAAGAGAGGTGTCTCGCGTTACAATCACACTGCAGTACAGAAAGGTGTGAACACTCCCTGTGCATTCGGTGTTGCCACACTCACCGATACAATCACAGTGCGGAGTTGTGCACCTGACCTTTGCTCCTCTCGCACTCTCTCACTCATGCTGCCACCTTCTCTTCCCTGCCTCTTCCCGCCACTCCACTCTTGGCCCCCAGCTACGTGTAGAGAGGTTATTTTTGAGACGTCTCAAAAATGACCTCTCTACACAACACAGAGTTGTGCTCCTGACCTCTGCTCCTCTCGCGCTCTCTGACTCATGCCGCCACCTTCTCTTCCCTGCCTCTTCCCGCCACTCTCGCCCCCCAGCTTTGTCCCACGACCTTCCCCTCGCCTCTTCCCTCGTCCCACCATTTCTTCCCTCTGCCTCCATCCACCTCGCACCCCCTGCAGGCCTTTCTGACGGTCTTTGAAACGCCGCCTGATGCCAGCAGGGGAGTCGATCTTCCCGCTGCCCTCCTCACCGTGCCCTCGGTAAAGACACTCTTCGTGTTATGTCATACTAGCTGTGATGTCACACGCACTGTGCCGTCTGACTTTTGAGTCGACTGACTTTTGAGTCGACTGACTTTTGAGTCGACTCACAAAGTCTTAGTGTTATGTCATACTAGCTGTGATGTCACACGCACTGTGCCTACTGTATTGCCAATGACAGTGTCACACACACACGTACCAGTGCATGCATTTCAAAGCAAAAGGTTGAAGTAACACACTTACCTTAGAGGCACCCTGAATATCATTCTTGCGCTTATGTTATTTTCCTACTTCCCCTCCCCTCTTTCCCTTTCCTTACCACTCACCTCCCACAACAGGACCCCCAGGGTCCAAGCCACATGTATGCACCACTGGTGGTGGTGCCGTTACCGTTGCCAGACCTGAGCATGCCATACAATGTCATCACACTCACCTGCACTCTGCTCGCCACTTTTTCTCCCCCTCTTGCCACAGGACCCCCAGGGTCCAAGCCACATGTATGTGCCACCGGTGGTGGTGCCGCTGCCGCTGCCAGACCTGAGCATGCCGTACAACGTCATCACTCTCACCTGCACTCTGCTCGCCATCGTGCTCGGGTCACTCTTTAACACGCTGCGATACCGCCCCTCTGCCGCTGGTGAGTCTGGTGGGTGTTGGCGTGTACCATTGCTTGGTGCAAGCTCAAGCGTTGCCGTAAGTCATCACACTCACCTGCACTCTGCTCGCGATCATGCTCGGATCACTCTTCAACATGCTGTGATACCGCCCCTCTGCTGCTGGTGGTGAGTTGCGCTGTAAAGCATCGCTTGCTCTCTCCTGTTCTTTTTTCATGACACCCTTCGCGTTCGCCATTTATGCCAGGGAATATTGGAATTCGACAAATCAATATGTATTCCTCATTATGTTGATTGATTGGCGTGTCCTGTCAGGCACATCAAGTGGAGCTGAAGCTAATGGCACACCAAGCACCGATAAGGCTCCTCTTAAAAAATCCTTACTAGATCGTCTGAAAGATAATCGGAAGAAAATTGTGCTTGTGGTGTTGGCTTTGGTTGCAGCTGGTTGGGCTGCGAGCAACCAGTCCTCTCAATAATTATGTCATTTTGTTAAACCATTGTAATAATGGTAAGTATGACCACCTAAAAATGCCGCTAAAAGCTCCGCTATTGCGTAGATTTCAAATCCATTCCGTTTCAGAGCTTGCAGGGCTTTCAGGGCAGACGACAGTCGAATCGAGCTGGAATGTGTCGACCATGTAGCACCTAGCATGCCGAGATACAGACATTCGCAGCGCGTCAAGTACTTCGTACGTTTTGATGCGCTGAAAATCACTCTTGTTGAGAAGGCGGTGCGCGGCGACTAGACTATGCCCGGCGACTTCACATATGGCCTTATTCGGAGAGATTATAACGCGTACTTCGCGATCGGCGCTGTTACTGGTCGTGGCGTGGCTTGTATTGGCGGCTACAGCCGTTTCAAGGGAAATTGACGGGGGAGACTCCCTAGGCAGGGGGGGTGGCGGCGGAAGGGCGGAGGTTATCAGCAGTCAACGGGGAGGAGATCAAAGAGCGCGCTAAAGAGCTGTACGCGGTATAAGCCACCTCTACGGTTTGTGGCGTCTCTATGCAACGCCTAGATTTTTTTTTATCCTCTCTCCCATGCTCTCAACTTCACCCTCCTCCTCCCCCTCCCCAATTTCCTGCAACCAATCCATTCTCACATTATTTCCCCCGTTCCCTCCATTTCCCCCAGGCATGGGCGCAGATCTACGGGCTAGACAACTCCTCGTCGCTGCTTCCCCCGCCCTCTCCGCTCCCCTTTCCGCCCGCCGTTCCCCCCGCGCCCCACCTGGAGGACTGCTCCGCGCGCACCGCCTGGCGCCACGCGTCAGAGGCGCGCGGACCAGGGGGGGAGCCGCCCTTATGGGCGCGCGGACGGGGGGAAGGGGGAGCAGCAGGAGAACCGGCGCATGTGGGCGCGGAAGGGGGTGCGGAAGGGGGAGGGGAGGGGTGTACGGAGGGGCCGCTCCCGCCTTGGGTGAGGGGTGCTGACGTGGACAACCTGCCACTGACACGTGTCGCGCAGAGAGACATCTGGGAGAGCCAGCGAATAGGAGCGTCGTGTGAGGGGCGGCGCCTGCTGCTGGCTCGCTGGTGGCCGGGTGAACGCCACGGCTTGGGCTCTCAGGTGAGCGGTCAGGTGCATTTTCAGGTGGGCCGTCAGGTGAGAGGTCCGGTAGAGCTGCAACAGCTGACGTCAGGTGGTGTTTTCAGAAAGAACAGGTATAGAATGAGGCAAGTTGTCCTTTTTGTCCTGTACTGGTGCAGGTGCACCTGGCGGGGGCGTATCTAAGCATAGCCATGGCTCACAGTCGCACCTTGGTGCCCTGGCCTGGGCAGTTCGACCGCGCCCTCCTCCCCGCCTGCCAAGGTGCGTGCAATGGGCGTTATGCTTGGTGAGTTGGAAGTTGATATTTGAGTCGACTCAAAAATCAACTCCTCCCCGCCTGCCAAGGTGCGTGCAATGGGCGTTATGCTTGGTGAGTTGGAAGTTGATATTTGAGTCGACTCAAAAATCAACTCCTCCCCGCCTGCCAAGGTGCGTGCAATGGGCGTTATGCTTGGTGAGTTGGAAGTTGAGATTTGAGTCGACTCAAAAATCAACTCCTCCCCGCCTGCCAAGGTGCGTGCAATGGGCGTTATGCTTGGTGAGTTGGAAGTTGATATTTGAGTCGACTCAAAAATCAACTCCTCCCCGCCTGCCAAGGTGCGTGCAATGGGCGTTATGCTGGTGAGTTGGAAGTTGATATTTGAGTCGACTCAAAAATCAACTCCTCCCCGCCTGCCAAGGTGCGTGCAATGGGCGTTATGCTGGTGAGTTGGAAGTTGATATTTGAGTCGACTCAAAAATCAACTCCTCCCCGCCTGCCAAGGTGCGTGCAATGGGCGTTATGCTTGGTGAGTTGGAAGTTGAGATTTGAGTCGACTCAAAAATCAACTCCTCCCCGCCTGCCAAGGTGCGTGCAATGGGCGTTATGCTTGGTGAGTTGGAAGTTGATATTTGAGTCGACTCAAAAATCAACTCCTCCCCGCCTGCCAAGGTGCGTGCAATGGGCGTTATGCTTGGTGAGTTGGAAGTTGATATTTGAGTCGACTCAAAAATCAACTCCTCCCCGCCTGCCAAGGTGCGTGCAATGGGCGTTATGCTTGGTGAGTTGGAAGTTGATATTTGAGTCGACTCAAAAATCAACTCCTCCCCGCCTGCCAAGGTGCGTGCAATGGGCGTTATGCTTGGTGAGTTGGAAGTTGATATTTGAGTCGACTCAAAAATCAACTCCTCCCCGCCTGCCAAGGTGTGTGCAATGGGCGTTATGCTTGGTGAGTTGGAAGTTGATATTTGAGTCGACTCAAAAATCAACTCCTCCCCGCCTGCCAAGGTGCGTGCAATGGGCGTTATGCTTGGTGAGTTGGAAGTTGATATTTGAGTCGACTCAAAAATCAACTCCTCCCCGCCTGCCAAGGTGCGTGCAATGGGCGTTATGCTTGGTGAGTTGGAAGTTGATATTTGAGTCGACTCAAAAATCAACTCCTCCCCGCCTGCCAAGGTGCGTGCAATGGGCGTTATGCTTGGTGAGTTGGAAGTTGAGATTTGAGTCGACTCAAAAATCAACTCCTCCCCGCCTGCCAAGGTGCGTGCAATGGGCGTTATGCTTGGTGAGTTGGAAGTTGATATTTGAGTCGACTCAAAAATCAACTCCTCCCCGCCTGCCAAGGTGCGTGCAATGGGCGTTATGCTTGGTGAGTTGGAAGTTGAGATTTGAGTCGACTCAAAAATCAACTCCTCCCCGCCTGCCAAGGTGCGTGCAATGGGCGTTATGCTTGGTGAGTTGGAAGTTGATATTTGAGTCGACTCAAAAATCAACTCCCCTGCCTGCCAAGGTGCGTGCAATGGGCGTTATGCTTGGTGAGTTGGAAGTTGAGATTTGAGTTGACTCAAAAATCAACTCCTCCCCGCCTGCCAAGGTGCGTGCAATGGGCGTTATGCTTGGTGAGTTGGAAGTTGATATTTGAGTCGACTCAAAAATCAACTCCCCTGCCTGCCAAGGTGCGTGCAATGGGCGTTATGCTTGGTGAGTTGGAAGTTGAGATTTGAGTTGACTCAAAAATCAACTCCTCCCCGCCTGCCAAGGTGCGTGCAATGGGCGTTATGCTTGGTGAGTTGGAAGTTGATATTTGAGTCGACTCAAAAATCAACTCCTCCCCGCCTGCCAAGGTGCGTGCAATGGGCGTTATGCTTGGTGAGTTGGAAGTTGATATTTGAGTCGACTCAAAAATCAACTCCTCCCCGCCTGCCAAGGTGCGTGCAATGGGCGTTATGCTTGGTGAGTTGGAAGTTGATATTTGAGTCGACTCAAAAATCAACTCCTCCCCGCCTGCCAAGGTGTGTGCAATGGGCGTTATGCTTGGTGAGTTGGAACCTCCCTGTGAAACTCCGTCCATTTCCTCCCCTCTCCCGCCTCTTCCCTCCCCTCCTCCTCTTTCCCCCCCTCTCCCGCCTGTTTACTCCCCTCCTCCTCCTTCCCCCCTCTCCCTTAGACCTGGCCCAGCGGGGGTCATGGGAGTGTTTTTTCTTCTTCCTCGTCTCTCCCCCCTTGGCACACAACGGGCACAGCAAGCACTGGCGGCTGCTGCCATGCCCGCTTGTGCACAGCCCCCCACCCTCCCATCCTCTTGCCTCTACGCCCCCTCTTTCCCCACTCCCCCCCAGACCTGGCCCAGCGGGGGTCATGGGAGTGTTTTTTCTTCCCCGTCGCCTCGTCTGATTGCACACAGACAGCACAGCAAGCCCTGTCGGCGGGTGCCATGCCTGCTTGTGCAAACCTTCCCCCTCCCCATCCGTCCCTTTTCCCCCCCAACACCAGACCAAGGCCAGCAGGGGTCATGGGAGTGTTTCTTCTTCCCCGTCGTCTCTTCTGATTGCACACAGACAGCACAGCAAGCCCTGTCGGCGGGTGCCGTGCCGTCGTGCGCCACTAGTGGCTTCAAGGCAGCAGCAGCGTCAGATGCCCCTATTGTGTGTGTGGAGCTGCAGCAGCTGGGGGAGCTGTACATGATGGAAGGCAGTGAGGCGGCCAGGTATGTGTGAGAGTGAGTACCAGGGAGTGAGGGAGAGTGGGAGTGTGAGGGTGAGCGTGACTGCCGCCACCCGTCATGCCGTGCGGCTCTGCCCCCGTGGTGTGTGTGGAGCTGCAGTAGCTGGGGGAACTATTTGATGAAGCAGGGGAGTGAGGTCGAAAGGTATGTGTGAGTGTGAGGGAGTGTGTGAGCGTGGGGGAGTGTGTGAGCGTGGGGGAGTGTGTGAGCGTGGGGGAGTGTGTGAGCGTGGGGGAGTGTGTGAGCGTGGGGGAGTGTGTGAGCGTGGGGGAGTGTGTGAGCGTGGGGGAGTGTGTGAGCGTGGGGGAGTGTGTGAGCGTGGGGGAGTGTGTGAGCGTGGGGGAGTGTTGGAGCGTGGGGGAGTGTGTGAGCGTGGGGGAGTGTGTGAGCGTGGGGGAGTGTGTGAGCGTGGGGGAGTGTGTGAGCGTGGGGGAGTGTGTGAGCGTGGGGGAGTGTGTGAGCGTGGGGGAGTGTGTGAGCGTGGGGGAGTGTGTGAGCGTGGGGGAGTGTGTGAGCGTGGGGGAGTGTGTGAGCGTGGGGGAGTGTGTGAGCGTGGGGGAGTGTGTGAGCGTGGGGGAGTGTGTGAGCGTGGGGGAGTGTGTGAGCGTGGGGGAGTGTGTGAGCGTGGGGGAGTGTGTGAGCGTGGGGGAGTGTGTGAGCGTGGGGGAGTGTGTGAGCGTGGGGGAGTGTGTGAGCGTGGGGGAGTGTGTGAGCGTGGGGGAGTGTGTGAGCGTGGGGGAGTGTGTGAGCGTGGGGGAGTGTCGCCATGCGTCTCTAGGGCTTCCGAGCAGCAGCAGCGCCGGATGCCCCTATTGTGTGTGTGGAGCTGCAGCAGCTGGGGGAACTATTCATGGAGCAGTGCAGTGAGGCCGAAAGGTATGTGTGAGTATGAGGGTGAGTGCTGTGGGGTTACCCCTAACTGGGCATTGTGGGTAGACGTATGCCCTCCCCTTCCGTCCTTCAACCTCCTTCCTTCCCCCCCGTTTCAACCTCCTTCCTTCCTACCCACCTGCAGGCTGTGGGGATCTGCATATCTGGCCACACCACCCACGGTGGAGCACTGGGGGAAGATGCAAGGCATGTCGACCAATGAGAGCATGGTGAGAGGCATGGTGAGAGGCATGATGCAAGAGGCATCGTAACATGACGTGACCCACCCACCATCCCACCTCGTATGAAACCAGACGCACTGGTGGTGAGTGCAGGCTACACGCTTTATGCTGCGCTGGCCCTTGTGAAGCCTGGAGGCGCACAAAAGCACCCTCCGCTCATCTTCTCCTCTGAATGCCTCTTGTGCCCTTTTCCCTCTCTCACAATCATTTCCCTCCCCTCTCCGTCACATTTCTTTCCTCACAATCAGACCCACTGGTGGCGTGCGCAGGCCACGCGCTTCATGCTGCGCTGGCCCTCCGCGCATCTCTGCCATGTCATCAACCAGCAGCGCCACGCCGCGTTCGGCATGCTCGTGGCCAATCAGCTCGCAACGTTCATCCCAACCCAGACCGCCTTCCTGCGTGGCCTCTCAGCCAGCAACGCCATCACAGAGAGTCAATACCTGCTGCTCTCCAGCATGGACGATTACTCCTCCTTTCTCCCTCCCCCCACCTTCCCAATCCCCTTCTCAGATGCTTCTTCCTTTTCCTCCTCCTCCTCCTCTTCCTCTGCTTCAGCCCCCTCACCATCTGTCTCCCCAACAGCACAACCACCACTGCCCACACCAGAGACAGCACCTGAGGTACCAGCAGCAGCAGCAGCAGCGGAGGTGCCACAGGGCGAGTCATCACCCCCTCCCGTGCGCTCGCTGCACGGCTGTGTGTGGCCCCAGCGCGGCTTCCCCGCGCCCCCTTGCTCCGCTGCTAGCTGTGCCCCTGCTGCCGGCTGCAACACTGGTGAAAGCAGCAGCAGCAGAGAGGAAAGCAGGGAGGTGGGAGCGGAGGAAGCGTACAGGATGGTGGGGGGGGAGGTGCACATGCCAGGGGGCATGGTGAGTGTGCATGTGCGGCAGACAGACAAGCGCAGTGAGATGCAACTCGCCTCCTTCCACTCCCACATGTTCCTCTTGCACAGGTGCGCTCTGGTACAGGTGGGTTGTGGTGCAGGTGGGTTGTGGTGCAGGTGGGTTGTGGTGCAGGTGGGTTGTGGTGCAGGTGGGTTCTGGCTCAGGTGGGTTCTGGCTCAGGTGGGTTCTGGCCCTGGTGGGTTCTGGCCCTGGTGGGTTCTGGCCCTGGTGGGTTCTGGCGCAGTTTATATCCAGCTATCCAGCGTTGGCGATATTGCTATCGTTTTCAGTCTCCATTTATCATGAAGTCCTCTACAACAATGCAACTCCTTTCCTCACACCCTTTCCATCCGAGCCCTCGTGTGTGTGTTTGTTTCCCATGCAGACTCAAGCTGTCCCGGCCCGATCTTCAACATGTGTGGCTCAACATGGAAGCACAGGTAGGTAACCAAACACCATCATGCACTGGTGCATGGGTCGTGTGCCATTGTAGCGAGGTGACTTTTGAGTAGACTCAACAGTCACCTTACTTCAACATGTGTGGCTTAAAACGAAAGCACAGGTACCCAAACACCATCATACACCGGTGCCAGTTCACCCTAACAATATTCCGAGTCATTTTTTCCATAACCATGAAACTGTGGTGTAGTTTGAGTCCACTCAAAACAGAATCAGGGCAGCGCAAGGACGTGGATGCAGCACCCTACACACACTCACCCACACTGCCCCCTCCCCCCCCCCCCCCCCCCCCTCCCCCTCCCCCTCCCCCGCAGTCGGTGATTGATGCCACGTCTCTCTATCCCGATTGGACCTTCTTCTACTCCAATAACACCCGTCAAAGCGACATCTCAGCGCCACAGCAAGAACAACAAGGGGAAGAGGTCCTGTGGGCATATGATAGTGAGCAATCAGTGGCAGTCAGCTTCGCTAGCTTGCTGATTGCTGCACAGTGCGATCTTTTTGTTGGGTCGCTAGGATCAAATTGGAGCCGTCTGATCAACGAGCTCAGATCCACCAATGGCAGACTGTTGGCTGGGTTTCTGGCCTTCAATTTTGGTGAATATTGAGTGCTGTAAGACATTTCATCTATTTCAATGATGTGTTATAAAACTCTCGCTTACTCCCAATGTAGCTTTCCTCCTCGTTAGAGTCCAGCTGCGATTTTCGGGTACAGGGTGATGAGGAGAAACTCCTGCAATAATTTGGCGACCCAGGAGTTCACCCATGCTGACCAGCACAGAGCCTGCTTCCTGCGCTTCGAATTTCCGTAACCTGAGTTGATACCTGACCAGATCTGTTCTGGTAACAACCAGCCGCGAGGAGCCAACCTGCGCCAGAAAAGTGCAGTCGCATCCGCCCGCCAACATCTACAGTCGCTTGATTAAGCGCGGTTCGGTTCCAATCTCGCGATTCGCGAACTCCCCAGCAAAACCATGAGGCAATGTAAGCCAAACCATACACACCAGCGTAATATAAAATAAGTCCGTCGACAGACAAGACACAACACAATCTTTCGTACAACATATCTTAAGTGAAGTTTCACTCGTACGATTTTTTAATCCTAGCGTTTTTCTTTCTCTCTAGGCGATTTTAACATTTCTCGACAGCAAGACAGCTCCTCAGCGCTTTGGCCTAGATTTTAGAACCATGGCACGGTTGTTACTCGTAGCGTCGCTCGCACTCCTACTGACAGTTGCCTCCGCGGCGCCAAGCGTCGTGACTGGCCCCAACAACCCCGCAGTGTCCCTCGCGGCTGCGCAGGGTGAGAATGGAGTAGCAACGGAGGTGCCTAAGGGCATCGAGCAGGCGGCGGCGGCGGGCAATCTGGACAAGTTTGAGGGGACGACGATCGTGAGTCCGAGCACGGACAGCATGCTGCTGGTGGACGTGAAAGCGGCCGGATGGAACAAAATGAAGTGCCACAAGGACCTGGGAAAACCCGGGGACGGCGCGTGCACGCCCGCCAACTGCAGCAAGGGCGGCATCCCGGCGAAATGGAAGACGTCGAATTTGCTCAAGAACAAGCTGGGCGTGGAGATGTACGTCAAAGGTAACCCGCTCACGCTCAAGAAGGCGTCCCCGCAGACGTGCTGCAACACGTGCGCGTCGTTCAAGAGCTGCACGTACTGGCAGTACATCCCCGATATAACCATCGACGGCAAGAAGACGGAGGGCGCGTGCTACCTGGTGCACGACAACATCGACTACTCGTGCGGCGAGCTCACCGCGCAGTACGCCACGGACTCCAAGCCCATCGCGCTGCAGGTGCGCACGGGCGGCGAGTGCAACCCCGCCGCGAACGTCGTCAACGACCCGCATCTGGTGGGCGCGTTCGGGACGCACTTCGACTTCAACGGGCGGCCCGACAAGGCGTTCTGCCTGCTGACGGACCGCGACCTGCACGTGAACATGCTGCTGCGCGGGTACTACTCGGACGACACGGAGAACGCGGCGCTCGTGGTGGACGGCAAGGCCGTGCACACGTGGATCAAGGAGCTCGGGCTCGTGTGGTTCGCCAACGGCGCGGATCACAAGCTGCGCCTCGCGGCGCGCGGCGGCAAGCAGCAGGAGCGCGGCGACGGGTTCATGAAGACGATCGAGATCGACGGCGAGGAGATCCCGAGGATGGCCGTCGGCGACGAGGTGAAAACTGAGGGCGGCTTGACGCTGCGATTCGCGGCGCTGGAGAAGGAGGGGCCGTATGACGTGGACTACTACACGCTCGCGATCGACGGGCTCGTGTCGCTCGACCTGCGGCTGCGCGTCGCCAACCCCAAGTTGCAGACGCCCAACGACGCCGAGGCGCACATCAACGTGGGGATTGTCGAGCTGGAGCACACCGACGACGTGCACGGCGTGCTCGGCCAGACGTACCGCCCAGACCACGCCGCGCGCGCCGCGGATTTTCAGCGCCTGATCGCGAATCTGCACCGTCCGATCTCGTCGGACAGCGAGGAGGGCGTGGGGTTCCTGGACGGCACGCCGCGGTCGTACGAGTCGAGCTCGGTGCTCTCCGTGGACTGCGCGCACACCGAGTACCACCGCGCCAAGCAGCTCAGCCCCGTCGAAGAGTTCCCCCGCGAGCCGCTTCACTAAACATAGTCGCGCATGGAGGTATAATTTGGTGGGACGATGATTTGGTGGGCTGATTTGGATACGCGCCAATCGCGCCTCTGTATTATATACTGGCCTGAATTAGGGCCTATTATTTTGTTGTAGCTGTGATATAGTCGTTAATTTATTATCGATTTTCTCATTTTGACAAGCTTTCTTTTTGTATACTTGAGCTAGAATTGTTGGGAAAATAGACGCATGACTTAGTGCGTTTCTGTAGTATCGAACCTCACCCGATACTGAAGCACAACAAAAGGGGTATGAAGTCGAAAAGGCGCGTACCACATCAAACCGCAACTGGAGGTTGCGAGCTGTAACCGCCTGGATGTTACGTAACAGCAAGCGACGCTTCAGTGAACAGTAACCACCTCGACAGTCGAAGCGTTACGCGTCTCGATAAACATAACCGCTTCTTGTAATCTATCTTTTCTATATATTCCTGTATGCTCCTTGTTTTAATCAATTACTTGTTCTCACATACCAGCACAAGTACATTCACTCAAAGACTTCCGCTGTGCTACTCTAGCACCTACTAGCCTATTCTCTGCAAAGATCCTAAGGCTGAAATCCTCAGCCCAACATGGTATGAGAGCAGTCAGAGAACAAAGGCTCTCGTCACTAAGCCTCTTCCAGGCTATCAATCTGCAAGCAACCAAGAAGTTCAACCTTCACTCAGGAAAGGCAAGACATGGCAAGTGGCAAAGAAAGAATATCATCTACGGGATCTACTCTACCCCCGGTCTCCGAGTTGTAGACCGAAGGAGGAACAACGCCCGGATTAACGCCGGAAGCGACGGAACGTTCTACTCAAGCGCCAGTAGCGCCGCCAACAATCTTCAACCCAAGCTTAATGGAGGAGTTCTTCAACTTCATGTCGCAGCAGCAGTCCTCGCAACCTGCAAACAGCAACAGCGTAAACAACGGAGCGGCACCAATGAGTATTGACAACTCATCGTTCGGACGACATAATCAACAAACACCAAATTCGGTCTCACCTGGTTCCTTCACGTTCATGCCGCCTCGCCATCCAGCGACCCCTCTTCCCGCCATCAAACGAGACACCGAAGAAGTCCTGCAAGTACAAGCACAGTTCAACAACATCCTACGACTGCACACATCCACACCATTCAGCGGGAAGGACTTCTACTCTTGGAGCTTCGAGTTTGAACTCCTGATGGAAGGCGCGAATCTTCTTGGATTCTTCAACGGTACCTGGCCATATCCACACAACGGCGAAGACAAGGACAAAAAAAATTATACGTATCACTCCCTAATGGCTTACACCGTTCTTCTCCGAAACCTGTCGCCGAACGAACAACAAAGCATCCGCGCCTACCGGAACTACGCAAACTCCGCGGAACTCGCTTATCAACATCTGCGAAGCATTCATCAAGCATCCGACAGCGTTACGCAAAGCCGACTCATGGCACAACTGACAACAGTTCAAATGCAACCTGGAGAAAAGGCCATGCCTTACATCAGTCGCTGTCAAGGACTACGCGACAGACTCATTCGCTGCGGAGGAAACTTATCTGAAGAAGCTTTCGTAACCGTCGTTCTTGCCGGCCTTGGACCTCAATGGCGCACCACCCGCTCACTTCTTTGCGCTCACGGTCGACTCTCGGAAATGCATCTCTGCGCCGAACTTCACGCCGAGCAGCAGGAAATGGACCTGTTCGAAGAACGCAACAACAAAAGGCATCATCAACCAGTCGTTCTTTACACCAATCGACGACAGCCACGCTACCAAAATCGAGGACACGTACCTCCTTACTGTCATCTGTGTCGGACTTCAGGACACACACGCTTCAACTGCCCTCAACAACAACGGCAACCAGCACCATTCTCTCGTCCTCTGCGACCAGCGCCTCCCCACATCGCGTCAACTCAACAACGACCCGCTACTGCCTCAACGACTACTTCAACGCGACCGTCAACTTCCACTTCTACTTCGTCGCCATGGCACGAACAACAGAGTCAAACATCGACTCGTGCATTACCGGCTCTCCACCGACTTACAGTCCTGATGAGCAACCGTCACCACCACCGTCGTCCCTTAACGTGAATCCAACGTACGCCGCCATCGCGAACAGTGCACCCACCGGACCAGAGACATGGTTCCTCGACAGCTGTTGCGGTCATCACATGTGCTCTTCATCACGATTTCTTCAGCACGAACGACGTCTTCCGCGAGACGTCATCATCACCATCGCCAACAACGAAAACCTGCGCACCAGCAAACAAGGAGTCGTGGAGCTTCAGTCAAACGAAACAAACGTTATTCTTCAACTAAACAAAGTACTCGTCGTCGACAACCTCGGCTTCAACTTACTGAGCGTCAGCCAACTCATGTCGAAAGGCGTTCACCTGGAGTGTGACTCCGACGCCCTGGAAATCCGTCTTTACCACGGAAAAGGGGGGGTCTTCATCGGCCGCGCAATCCAACAAGATGACGTGTTCGTCCTCGACTTCGTCCCCGACAAAGGCACCGCAGACAGCGACGGCATAGTCGCTCTCGCACCTTGGACGCATCCGCCAGACCTCGACCCGAACTTCAGTCCTGAAGGCTTCTGGTACTCTCGTACCATTCCCGAAGCTGAACGCACGAACGCGCTTGCCGTCCTGCAAACACAAGCTACAACACCTGAGTTAGCACCCGTCATCGAAACAACAACTGCACCCGTCACAACACCAACAACCACCGAACCTGCAATTGAAGAACCAACCGTCGTCACGGAACAACCTTCCGAAACTCCACAGCCCGGTCCCTCCGTCGCACCTCCACCTCTCATCATCGACACGCCACCGACAGCCGCCCAACAGTTAACGCCAGCACCACGCGCCGTTCATCGAAGTGCAGCAATACACGCCGCCTTCTTCGCTAACGCAGACTTCTATCAACGCTCCGTCAGTCACAGCGCCTCCGAAGACATCTGGCATCAACGTCTTGGACATCCTGGAAACACAACACTCTACAATACAATACGAGCCGGAGTGTTAGACAAGAACGCCCTACTTCTTCCCAACGGACGTGAACTCGAACGACCACGCGGCACCTGCTTCATCTGCCCGGAAGCAGATCTGCCTCACCAACCGTTCCCGTCACACCACAATCCGAGCGCCCCCGTTTATCAACCACTCGAGAAAGTCTACAGCGACATACTATACATACCTCGAACTGAAGGACGTGAAGATCTGAACTACGTCATCACCTTCATCGACGCCGCAACGCGATATGTCTGGCACGTCAACTTACCGTCACGAGACATGGCTCTAGAAGCCTTCACAGCCTGGCTACCTGTCGCTGAAAGAGAGTCGGGGGCGAAACTGAAGAGTTTTCAATCAGATGGCGCAAAGGAGTACCAGTCAAACAACTTCACACAGTTCTTGGCAGAAAGAGGCATCAAACGCCTCATCTCTCTTCCTTACGCTCACCAACAGCAGGGTGTGGCAGAAAGGATGAACAGGACCCTGCAGACAACCATGTGAAAGCTGCTACGTGAAACTCGACTGCCCAACTCAGAATGGCCAGCAGCGATGGACCACGCTGTCCTCCTGCACAACTTGCTGTCCTCGTCTTCACTGCCCAACAACGCATCTCCGCACCTGTTGTGGACTGGGAAGCTGGGCAACACAAAAATGTTACGAGTTTTTGGGTGTATGGTACAGTACCGCCCACACACCGCACGCGCAGGGAGATTCTCGCAACGTGCACAGTGGGGTCTACACCTCGGGCTGGCAAAACATTACGAAGCCTGGCGAATCTTCGACGTCCACACAAAGGAAACAGTAGCATCACGTGACGTTATCTTCTACGAGCGACTCACCCTCAACCATTACCTGGACAACATCGCACGCCACGTCGACCCCACCGGCGGATTTTCTGGTTCCCGAGCCTTGGCTTCACCCTCCGATGCTGCTGACTGGGAAGAAGAAAACGTCGACGGCGCCTCCGAAGCTGCTGGACCCCTTCCTTACTGCTCCGTCCCAATCCCCATGGACGAGGAAAATCCTCGCGACAGTAACAATGCCGACGCCTACTACCATTTCGCCGACAATGGTTACGTAACACCCCAACCTGTCAACACCGACATCTCTGAACGATACGGCCCCGGATTCGCACCTGATCCTGAAGCGGGAGACGAAGCAGTCTATCCCGAGGACCCCTTGCTGAACCGTCACACCCCCAGCGGACTCCAAGTCCTGGGACTCGTCGCTGCAATGCACGGGCCTTCGTCGCCACCTGAAGAGCCTCGCTATGTCAAGCAGGCTCTGGGGGGGAAACACAAAGAAAAATGGCGCGAAGCCATGGAAAAGGAGTTAAAAGCGCTTTCAGACCGCAACACCTGGAAGATCGTCCCTGCATCACTCGCACAAGACAAACCCATTCTCTCCGGAAAATGGGTATTTCGGATCAAAACCAACTCCGACGGAACCATCGAACGGTTTAAAGCTCGATGGGTCGTCCGCGGATTCGACCAAGAGTATGGTCGCGATTTCACTGAAACCTTCGCACCAGTCAGTCGACATACTTCCCTGCGCATACTCCTCGCCATCGCCGCCTCACGTCGCCGCCCACTCCGACAAATCGACGTCGCCAACGTCTTTCTGTACGCCCCAGTCGACGCTGAAATCTTCGTCGAACAGCCCCACGGGTTCGTCGACGACCCTTCCCTCGTCTGCCAACTACTTAAATCACTATACGGAATTAAGCAGGCACCGCGACTCTGGCAGCAGTACCTGCACGCACGACTTAAACGCATCGGATTCAACCAATTGCCCCATGACCAGGGCATGTATCGTCTCACTCGCGACAACGACTACGTTCTGCTAATCGTCTACGTCGACGATTTGCTTTACATCGGGTCAACTACCACCATCGTCACCTGGTTCGAAAGGGAGCTTCAGACAGATCTCTCCCTCACAGTCTCACCCAACGTCACGCAGTATCTAGGGCTCAACATCCTCGACGAAGACAACGCCATTCGTCTCAGCGCCTCAAAATACGCAAGCACTATCGCCGAACGCTTTTGCATCACACCGACGCACGTCGCAACACCCTACAGTCACCTATCGCTCGATCCAACCGAAAAAACCAACCCACTGCCGCCTGCTGGAATCCAGGAATATCAACAGAAATTGGGCTGCCTACTCTTTGCCGCCGTTACGTGCCGACCGGACTTATCCTACAGCGCCAGTCAACTAGCGACCTACCTCAAGCGCCCAGAACAACGTCACCTCAAGGAACTCAACCGTGCCCTTCTCTACTTCATCTCGACGCCAACAGTTGGCTTAACGTATCACAAGAACACGACGACCGACCTAAAACTACTCGGCTACGTCGACGCTGATCATGCTGCTGATCGTGTCGATCGTCGCTCTCGCACCGGCTACATCTACCGTCTCGAGCCCGTCGGAACTATCTCCTGGCAATCAAGTAAGCAGGAACTCGTCGCACTATCATCTGCTGAAGCAGAGTATATTGCTCTCTGCAGTGCTACCAAGGAGGGCCTGTACCTGCGCGAACTGCTAGAAGAAGCGAAAATTGCGAAAGTACCCAGCTTCTCGCTTTTCTGCGACAACCAGTTCGCGATACGGATCGCGAACAAGAATGGCTTCGCCAACAGAACCAAGCATATCGCACTGCGATACTTCTTCGTGAAAGACGAAATTGAGAAGGGAAAACTCCAGCTGGATTACTGCCCGACCACCGAGATGGCAGCAGATTATCTCACCAAGAAGCTACCAAAGGGGAAATTCGAGTACTGCATGCTGCTCACCGGATTGGACCACGTCACCGAAGCTGACCACGTCGACACTCCAGAAACGAAGGGGAGTGTTGGGAAAATAAACGCATGACTTAGTGCGTTTCTGTAGTATCGAACCTCACCCGATACTGAAGCACAATAAAAGGGGTATGAAGTCGAAAAGGCGCGTACCACATCAAACCGCAACTGGAGGTTGCGAGCTGTAACCGCCTGGAGGTTACGTAACAGCAAGCGACGCTTCAGTGAACAGTAACCACCTCGACAGTCGAAGCGTTACGCGTCTCGATAAACATAACCGCTTCTTGTAATCTATCTTTTCTATATATTCCTGTATGCTCCTTGTTTTAATCAATTACCGTCTCCCCCCGGATATAAGCGCCACCCTAGGATAAGCGCCTGGCGCTTCTAATTGGCATATGGCGCTTATATCCCCTCCTCGATTATAAGCGCACCCCTTGAAAAAACTTGTTTTATTATAAGCGCACGTAAACTTTAAAATTTGAAATGTGTTCAAAAAGCTGTAACGAATTTTACTTTAGCAGGCGGATATGTTGCAGATTCGGTTCCCTTCACATTCGGACCCTGCACTGGATGCGGGTCCAGTCAGCAGGACCTGTCAGGAGCTGGATGTGAGTCAGATTGGGTGTATCTCCCAGCGCGCGCGAGAATTTCACAGACGATCCCATGTAACTTCGACTCGATTGAAAAGGCAAGCACGAGACCTACAGTTTGGTGTTAAAAGATATAAAAAAATATGTATGTCATTTTATAAACGCCGGCGCTTATAATTTTACTCGATTATAAGCCCACCCCCATGAAAAAACCTGTTTTATTATTGCCCCCCATGGGGGTATATCCGGGGGGAGACGGTACTTGTTCTCACATACCAGCACAAGTACATTCACTCAAAGACTTCCGCTGTGCTACTCTAGCACCTACTAGCCTATTCTCTGCAAAGATCCTAAGGCTGAAATCCTCAGCCCAACAAGAATCAAGGTAGAATGGTGAAGCTTACAGCGAGTATGTTACAACCATCAAACCTATAGACAACACCACCAGAAATTATACCAACTTGCACCAAGCAGCATTCTTGTGCCACATATCTATGCACCCTTTTCCACCCATGCAGTTGTAGCTTCCCCCACTCCCCTTCCCACCACTACAGTCACATCCTCTCCACTCTTGATCCCTACTCTCACTTCCCCTGCATTCACTTCCACTGAAAATCTCTCTGTAGTGTCACCACCACCACCTTGCCTCACAACCACCTCCTTGGTCCCCTCCACTCCAATCTTGAGCAGCATCTCGTTATTGTCACATGCTGCAGGCCCTACGTGCACCTCAACATTCCCTTCAGCAGAAGATGGGGCACTGGCACTGGCAGGGGGTGTGACTAAAAAGGTGGACGAAAGGGGGCCAATGATTGGTGCAGGTGTCACCTGGGGTGCTGTGGGTGGCGTGAGTACAGGGGTGTGGAAGGGAAGGGATTGGGCAGCTGTTGCTGCTGGGGTGAGGATGGAGGTACGGCTAATGGGGAGGGAGGCAAGGAGTGGAACGGGGCTGGGAGGTGGTGTGGGAGGAAGGACCGGGGGGTGCGGGGCAAGGGGGGAAGCGGTCGTTAGAGGTGAGGACGGAACTGCTTGCTGCAGCTCAGGCGCCACTGACATGGCGTGTTGCACACCTGGCAGTGTGCTCGCATGCGGTAGATTTGCTGACCTGGCACTGGACACAACTGCTGACGTGTCACCCGACCCTTCTTCTGCTCTCCCTGATAGCCCCAGATTACAGCCCAGCACCTGGCCAAAACCCAGCTGCTGCTTAAAGCCCAGCTCTTGCTCAGAGACCAAATGTTGCTTAAAGCCCGGGCTCTCTTCTAAACCCAGACCCTCCAGGGGCGACGTGGCGAATCCCAGGGAGCCCAGCCCCTGCTCGTCCACAGTCACACCCGCCTGCTCTGATGGCTCCCTCGATTCAAGCACATCCGCTAGAGTCACAGCCATGCCAGGCTGGCGCATGTGCTCGTAGGGCGGCGCCAGCATGCCTGCAGGCCGCAGCATGGCATGCGCCTCTGCATCCCCTGCCCCCGCACTCAACCCATGCTTCACCCCGGGCTGAGACCCGTGCGAGAGATCATTTCCTGCTTCTGATTGGTCGGGCTTTTCTCCGCTGTTGGTGTCGCTTGGTTGTCCCCCTCCTCCTCTGGCTGCGTCACCAGCTGAAGGGCGTTTCTCCCCACCATCAGCACCACCACTTGTAGCAGCACTAGCACTAGCACTAGCACTAGCACTAGCACTAGCACTAGCACTAGCTTCAGAATGGCCACCAGCACCAGAAACACTCGGCGTTGGTTGAAAAGATGCTGATGCTGACGCCTGTTCCTGCCCAACTCCACCGCCCCCAACCCCCGTTGCACCCTCCCTCTCACAATCATCATCTCGCCCTCCTTTCCCTACCACTCCCACATCTTCTCCCTCATTCTCTGCCCTTTCTCCAGCTCTCTCCTCACCTTCTCCCTCTTCTCCTCCCCTTTCTACTCCCCCTCCTCCCACTCCTCCGCCTTCCTCTTCTCCTCCCTCTCCTTCCTCTCCTCCCTCCCCCCCTCCCACCGCCAAACCATCACCCCTGTGGCCGCACAGCACGTTTTCCACAGCATCAACAAGAGGGCTCAGGGTGTTAGCAAAGGGGTTCTGGGTTTCCACAAGAGGGTCTCGCGTGTCAACAGGCGGGTCACACGATGGCGGCTTTTGACTCGACTCCAAAGTCACCGCAAAGGGGTTCTGGGTTTCCACGAGCGGGTTTAGAGTATCGACAGGCGGGTCAGACGATGGTGGGAAGTGCTCCGTTGCTGCCTCGCCCTCTGTGAACCCGGGCGGCAGCTGGATGTCCGACAGTGCCGCTACAGCCGGATCCAGAGGTGCTGTATCAGGCTCGAGTGCTGCTACAGCCGGATCCAGAGGAGCTGTATCAGGCTCGAGTGCTGCTACAGCCGGATCCGGAGGTGGTGAACTGAGCTCGAGAGCTGCTACAGCTGGGTCCAGCGGTGCTGTGTTGGGCTCGAGTGCTGCTACAGCCGATTCAGTTGCTACCTGTTCAGTGGCCGGCGGATCAATTGCTGCTGCATCTGGTTCAAGTGCTGCTATATGTGGTTCAATTGCTGCTGCGGCAAAATCAGATGCTGCTACAGCCGGGTCAAATCGCTGGTACTGGTGCTGCTGCTGCAGAAGTCCCTCTGGCGAGCAGCCGCACATGTGAGCCAATCGCCTAGGCGCAGCTTCAGCAGCGCCTTCTGTGCCGTGTGGTAAATCAACATGAGCGAAAACAGGCAGCTTTTGAGTAGACTCCATAACACCCTCTGTGTCCCCCAGTGGGTCAACATGGGCCAGAGCAGGCAGCTTTTGAGTGGACTCAACAACGCCCTCTGTGTTCGGCAGTGGGTTCACAGAAGCGAGAGCAGGCAGGGCAGCGGCGATGTCGCTGGAGTTCAGAGATGGGAGGGAGGCCAGCAACCGCACTGAATCCAGTTCCACCGCACTCATACCGCCCTGAACCTCGCTCTGACCTTCACCCACCTTGACCCCTTCTCCCCTGTTGAAATCCAGATCAGCAACGTCTCCTATGCAGAGAGCCTCTTCGTTGCCAGCTGGACCATGCCTTGCCACGTCAGCGCGCCTTCCACGCTGGCCTGCCACGTCAGCGCTCCTGTCAGCGCTGCAGGCCTCCTCGTCAGCAGCAGCAGCAAGGTCCAGGCACAGCCCCTCGTATATCTGCCTCACCTCGCATTCTAACGCCTCCTCCTTCCCCCTACCGCTTTCTCTCTCTCCCCCCTTCCTGGTATCCAGCTTTTGAGGCACCTCGAAAGGCACCTCGAAAGGCACCTCGAAAGGCCCCTCCTCAACCCGCCTCACTTCACCCTCTAACCTCTCCTCCCGCCCCTCGCGCTCTCTCCCGCTTTCCATCCCGTTGTCAGGCTCCTTATTAAGATCAAACTCAGGCGAGTCCTCTTGCCCCTTCCCGAAGCCTCCCTGCACGTTAAAGCCCTCCTTCAAACCTGCCTCAGGTAGCTGGTACTCGCGATTGTGCATGCATCTTTCTGGAGACTCTTCGCCCCTCTCCCCTCTCACCCCACTGTTCCGTAACCGCTTAGGAGGAGAACCCACAACGAAGCTTCCTGCCGGTATCTCACAGCCACTCGGCTCCAGATGTTCCCCCCTCTCTCCGCCAGCGCTACTATCCTTCTCTCCTCCTTCCCCTGATTCTCCTCCCTCCCTCCCATGTCGCCCCATACCCGCCGCTGCTGTCACCTGCCAACGCGCCTCCCGAACCGCCCCGTGAACCTCGTGACTCTTGTGAGCCTCGTGGGCCTCCCGAGTCTCGCGATTCTTGTCCCGCTCCGGACGGAAAGTCTCGTGAGTCTCGTTCGTCTCGCGAGTTTCGTGAGCCATTCACCGGCTCCACACGGAAAGCGACCGGAAATCACTTTTGAGAACTAAGCGTCCGTCTTCAAACTGCACGCGATCCGGCCCGGGATCTCCGCCCACCCACTCGGACTCGGAGGAACAAGCACAGCGCCTCGAGGAACAAGCAAACGCCGAGGCACAAGCAAACGCAGGCGATGGAAACAAATTCACTGCGATATCGTGAGCGTCCGTTTGCTGCACCGAATCCTGCCTGGTTCGTCGTCTGCGAGCACCCGAGTATTATCATGCGTCTTAGGCGCCTCTTTCGCGCCTTGCCTTACGTAACGGCATGCGCCCACTCACGCCGGTCACGAACTGCAGTGGAGCGCCTCGCTGAAGCGAGGACCTGCCAAGTAAAACTCAACGGTCACGATCCTCCGAATCGCCGCCTTCAGCCGTCAGATTTGACGTGGATCTAATCGAGTTTCACACGGCTGGCGGTGGGGACCGAATGCAGCCCATCAGTTCGCGTTTGGAACCCAGCTGCTGGCGTGTGATGTGGGCCATGCGTTATTGCGTGTGCGCTGCGCAGCGCTGTGCGTTCTTCTGGAATTCGCACTAAAGGACACGCCAAACCACTGGGACGGCACTCGCAGTCGAGGCGCCCCATTATGTGACCTCGCTTGCATGTCTCTCCGCACAAGGGGCGCTGAAACAACATCAATGTCCCGACACGTGGTGCGCTGTGCTTCTGCTGCCACGACATGTCCAAGTACGCTCTGCGAGGGTTGACACGGCAAGGGTATTCCACGGACACACTCCAGGCCCATCGCGTTCAGGTTGAGGCGCCACGAATGAATTGTGGTCCCACCACGCATTCATGGAGACTGACGAAAGGGGCGCAACTCTCGAGATCTTGCCTGCAGACAGCACCACCTGTCTCGTGGAAGTGTGTCGTCTAATTGCTCCGCTAAGTAGCACGCTCTAAATGTACAAGCCTATGGGACCACCTCATCCACATGAATCTACTTAAGCTTCTATTTTGTGAGTAATAGCTCTTAAGCTTCTATGTTAATAGATCTTCACCATTCATCCTTTAACTAGCTATTGCAAGACACCAAGGGAAAGATAATAAGCCACAAACGAAGGAATCCCTGAAATTTGTAACACACACAACCCAGCATATAAATTCCACGTATAAATCCTATCGCATCAACCCATTCCTCTCCCTTCCACTTCCCAAACCATTTCTCTCCACTAGCATAATCTACTTTCCACGGCCTACTTCCACATGCCAGCCACGTAGGAGACGCGGGGCGAGGGGGCAGGGTCGGGGACAGCGAAGGAGGAACCGGGGCCAGTGAGGATGGTGAGCACGTGGGTGAGAGACGCCAGGGAGGAGAGCGCCGTGTTGAGCGCCTCGGGTGCACAGCCAGGCTTCACCAGTTCCCTCACCTGCCAGGAGAAGATCATTGGAATGGGAAACATTCGGAGTTGGAGTGAGACCATAAGACTCATTACAGAACACCTGATCTGGTTCAGGTACCACTAACTGCTAGATTCGGCTAGGTAGCTACGCGCCCAGGCACTGACCTGGTCGAGGTACTTGTGCAGCCAGTGCATCTGCTCCACATAGCTGTGGTCCTCCATGGTCAGTGTGATGGGCTTCATACTTAGCAGCAGGTGCAGTATGTGCAGTATGTGCGAGTGCGATCAGCAGCACCCACCTGGTCCAGTACATTAGCAGCGGCAACGCACCTGGTCGAGGTACTTGTGCAGAGTGTGCATCTGCTCCACGTAGCTGTGGTCCTCCATGGTCAGCGTGATGGGGCGTGCCTCAGCGCTAGGCCCCTCAAACTGAATGGGCCCCGGGTTGCGGTACAGGTCGTCCAGCAGCCAGCTGGCCGCATTGGCGTACAGCGCCCTGGGGGAAGGGGAGCAAGATAGGGGAAGATGGGGAGTGGAGGCGGGGGCAGGAGGACGGTGTGCGTGAGTGGGCGTGCGATGAGGGAGGCATGAACATCTTGCACCCCGGGCTGCGGTGCAGATCGGCCAACACCCAGCTGCCTGCGGATGTGCGGATGAGTAAGCAGTGAGCTGCCGCCACCAGATGCACCCCTCAGTGAGATGCGAGCTCTCCAGCCCAGATTGTGGAACACGTCGTCCAGCAGTCAGCTGCCCGCACTGGCGTGCAGGGTCCTGGGGGAGACATGGGAAGGGAGAGGACTTAAAGGCGCCTCTGAGAATTCTCATAAGGGACTTTAGAGGCGCCTCAAGAGCCAGCTGCCCGCACTGGAAGAAAGGGTCCTGTGGAGAGGCATGTGGTACAAGGGGAGTGGAGTGGACGTGGGGGGTATGAGGGTGGCACCGAGCATGAGGGGACGGTGCGTGTGGTGCTGCGCACTCGAGTGTGAGTGGGAGCAGGGGCGCGGAGCACTCAATGTGAGTGGGAGCAGGGGCGCGGAGCACTCAATGTGAGTGGGAGCAGGGGCGCGGAGCACTCACTGGACAGGGGCGCTGTTGAGGTCAACCTTGTTGGCGTTGACACTGGGCTCAGTGGCGCCGCCCTTCATTGTTGGCTTTGAACTCATGATTGCCTGCGCAGATGGGATTAGGGGTGCGGAGGGGGCAGAGGGAAGAGAGGTTCGAGGGAGGAGCGGAAGGCTAGGGGCATGGGCAGGAGTGCAGCGAGGAGCCATGAGACGTGATGAGAGGAAAGTTGACGGCATGTGAGACTGATGAGTCAACTCAGGGTGCATTCCTGCACTTTGGGTCTTCCCGTTTTTGGGTCTTCCGAACACTTGGGAAGACACGAACCATAATATTTTCTTTTGGGTCCACAACCTCATTTCCCACCCGATTTTGACCGTGTGACCTATCGAGCGTAACCACAATTCGTCAAATCGTCCCGCGCTCCATTGCTCATAAGTCAACGTGGATGGGAGTGCAGCGAGGAGCCATGAGATGTGATGAGAGGTTGACACTCACTCCACGACACTCTCCATGCCACCATGCCACCATGCTGCATGCAGAGGAGGCACATACTCTCATCGCCCACGCCATGCAACCCACATACGCACACGCAGACAAATAACGCACACAGTGAACCACACACGGCACACACACAGAGGGAGGAGCATGCACCGTGATGGGCATGCACACAGAGAGGGCGGAGCACGCACCGTGATGGGCACGCCACCGAGCGTCCAGCGGGAGACGTCGTGCTTGAGCCCGCTCACCGTCGCCATGTACCCTCCCGCACCCGCTGCCACCAGATGCACCGCCGTGTGCCCCAGCGCCTGGCGGAGTCGGGGGTAAGAGCGGCACAAAAAGAGAATTTCGTGCGGGGCGGGAGAGAAGGCTTGTGCTTGGTTTGTGTGTGTGCTTGGGTGTGTGTGCGTGTGTGTGTGCGCGCGCACGCGTGTGTGTGAGTGTGTGTGCGTGTGTGTGTGAGTGTGTGTGTGTGTGGATGTGCGTGGTGTGTATGTGGTGCGTGTGCATGCATGGGAGCGAGGGAGAAGCAGCGCCGGGCACTTACATTGGCGCAGTCGAAGTTGGAGGGCAGGGAGCCGCGCACGCGTGTGTGTGTGCATGTGCGTGTATGAATACATGAGAGACGGAAAAGCAAGGGGAGGGCACGTACATTGGCATAGTCGCAGTCGAAGTTGGAGGGCAGGGAGCCGCGCGCCTGGTAGCCGAAGAAATAAGAGATGGCGTTGAACTTCTTTCCCTTGTACTGCCCCGCCTTCTGCTCACATGCCACATGCACACACACACCCACACATACACATAAACATACACAGCAGACACCAGTAAAACAGCCAGCACATGTGTACGCAAGCACACAAGCACAACGACACGCACGCACAAGCACAAAGAGGAACACCAACGTGACTGCGTGTTTCACCACGCTTAAGGACATGGTCAACACGAATCTCCACAACTAAAATTGGTTTCCACGTGTTCCCAGGTCTAGAGCAACCCGCCTCTGCTCGCACTCTCACTGCTTGCCCACTCGCATACCTGCTTCCCCTCTCCTCTCAGCCTAACTGTTCTCCCGCCTTTCAGCACCGCTTACCTCTCCCTGCACCCGGGCCCCACTCATGATCACTCCCACCCCACTCCCTCTCCTCTCTTGTTCCTCCCCGCCCCTGCCCTCACCCCGCGGCCTCGCTTCCTGCACCCAGGACCCACCGTGCGTCGCTCCATCTCCTTCTCCACCAGATGCGCAAACAGCTTCTCCGTCTCGATCTGCACCCATGCCCCATGCAATCGCACGCACGCACGCACACATTCATGCATACGCCCATACAGACCATCACATTCACACACGCCCACACAGACCATCACATTCACACACGCCCACACAGACCATCACATTCACACACGCCCACATAGACCATCACATTCACACACGCCCACATAGACCATCACATTCACACACGCCCACACAGACCATCACATTCACACACGCCCACACAGACCATCACATTCACACACGCCCACACAGACCATTACATTCACACACGCCCACACAGACCATCACATTCACACACGCCATGCCAATCCATGCCATCATTGTATCTCATGCCGTGTCGTCACATGCATGCACACAATGCAACGCAAGCCCAAGCAGAGAGAGGCGTGAGGAAGGCTCGAGGGTACCAATCCTTGAAACCTAGACGGCGAGCAAGAGTGGTGGTCAGGTGACCGACCAAGCACGTGCAAGGGGGGGGGGAGCGGACAGGCGGAAGGCGGCAAGGAAAGTTGGTGGAAGGCGGGGGAGAGCGGAGGCGGGGGGGGAGGGGCCGGGGGATGGCGGAAGGGTTACCTGCGAGAAGCGGATGTAGCCATCGACCTCGCGGTGCTCCGCGAACTCGTGGCGGATGAAGGGCGGCATGAACGCGAAGAGCGCCGCCGACCACGGCGACAGGCGCGACGCCACCGACTCGGACGGCACGCCGTTGTTGATGAGCTCGTTGATCTCCTGCTCGCACACGTCGCACAAGTCGCAGAACGGAGGGAGTGATGGGAGGGGAGGGGCAGCGGTGATGATGGGCGACGGTGGGTGGGGCGAGGAGGCACAGGTGGTGGGATGATGAGAGGCGTGACGTGAGCAACGCTGAAAAGGGCAGACTGCACGGACTCACTGACCTCAGATGCGGAATAGGACCCACTGACCTCGACACAAGAACCTCGATTAGAGCAGGTGACTGACCTCAATGAGAGCGGCGACTTCGGGGATGTGCTCGATGAGGCCCTCGGGGAAGAGAATGACTCCGTGATGCTTGCCTGCATAGGCGGCAACACGGACACAGTCGGGCATGATGAGCTCGGGAACGTCTCAAGACTCGGTCAAGATGGGTGGGCGCGCAGATGGACACACACGGGCACAAACTCACAGTCATGTACCGATCGATCAGCACATGAGACATTATATGCAGATGGCATCAGCACATGATGCCAAGGGGATGAGACGCGTAGAGGTGGAGCGACGAGAGGAGGGAAGTGGAGGAGAGGCGACAACGAGTTGAGTGAGAAGAGGAGGCGAGGTGCGGAGCGGGCGACTGAGTGACCGACTGACTGACGGACCCTTTTCAACGGAGCGCTGCACGACGGCGTCGCAGATCTTGTTGGTGAGAGGATGGAAGGGGAGAGGAGAAAGGGAGATGAGGAGCAGAGTGAACGGAGGAGGGAGAGTCGTACCCTTTTCAACGGAGCGCTGCACGACGGCGTCGCAGATCTTGTTGGTGATGTCGAAGAGCGTCATCTTCGACGCCGCGATTTGCTCTCCCAGAATCACCATGTTCGCCTGCGACTGCAGCGCCGACTCGAGCGCGATGTGCGACGCCTTGCGACCCATGAGTCGCACGAAGTAGTAGTACTGCGACAGAGAAGGCGGGGGGAAGGGGAGGAGGAAGGAGGGGGATGAGGTGAGGAGGGCAAAGACGCATGCGATCACGAGCTGAGTTGTGAGGCATCAGAGCATTGTGGAGTGTGAGCCATGCGAGCCATGCGAGCCGTGCGAGCTATGCGAGCCATGTAAGCTCATCGAAGGAGACGTTGGGGAATGCACAGTGGGACGAACGGAGTTTTGGGAAACAGTGAGGTACGCAGAAGAGCGGCGGCATCGCGGAGTAGAGCAGTGTGCGCACGGCGGTACGAATGGAGAGTCGATGATGGTCTGTACGTACCTTCTCCGCGGAAAGCGCGTCGGTGCAGATGTTGCTAATGAGCTGCGAGTACACCTGTGGCATCCCATCCGATCCGAGTCCGATCCGATGCGATCCGATGCGATCCGTATGACACGCGCACAACAAAGGCGGGGAGGTGGGAACATCACACACGGATCAGCACTCGTGGCAACTTGAAATCAAGGCACTAAACTGGAGAAGTAAGCAATTTGGCCGGGGACGAATAGGGTGCAGGAAAGTAGAGAAGGCATCTAAGGCTGGAGGGGCCCTTGAGGCAGGTAGAGCTGTGGAAGGGCGAGAGAGGCGCAGCGAGAGAGGCGGCGGGATAGGCAGCGGGAGAGATAAAGAGAGGCGAAGAGAGAGAAGATTACCCGTCGCGTCGTACCTTGCAGGCGGAGTCGAAGCCGACGCTGACCTCCACGAACTGGTTCTTGAGATCGCAGTCGATGGTGCACGGCACCGCCACCACCTGATGCTCTCAACGCACGGCCCCCACACGCACGCATTCACGCACGCACACCCCGCACAACCACGTAACCCACACACGCACCCAGCAGCCCCATACAACGAACAGAGGTACGCGTTGAGCTCGCAACTACGATTAGGTACTTTCAGAGCCAATGCTAGAGGTGATCTCGTATGTGACACCACCTCGCGCCATTTCAGAATATCACAATCATTATCCTTCCACCGTTTGGTCGGCCGGCACAGCTTCTAGAGACCATCAAAGGTGGGGAGGGAGGGAGCTAGGGGTGCATCTTGGTGGATGCGTTCTGGGCGGCGCAGCGCTCCGAGTGAATAACAGAGGTGAGGGAGGGAGAGAGGGGCGCACCTTAGTGGGCGCGTTCTCCGCCGCGAAGTACTCCGCGAGGTACGCCGCAGTCGTCGCCGTGCCCGTGCCTGCTCGCGCGCACCCGAAGGGGGGTGGGATGGGTCGGCGCAGCGATGGAAGGAGGGAGGGGGGGAAAGGGGGGGTGAGGAAGGAGCAGGCGACAGTGAAGAGAAGCACACACCTGCGCTCCGGCAAACCAGCTCAAGACAGCTGAGCTTTGAAAGGTAGCTGAGCACATATGACGGAAGGCAGCGCGGGTGTGAGACGTTGCTCTCGACGTCAGAGTAAAAAAGCCGAGTCAAAGGCAGCGCACGTGGTGGGAAAGGCGCTTACCGCCGATAAGCACGAGACCGTCGAGCTTGAGGTCCGTGCACGTGGCCTTCACCTGCGCCTGCAGCTCCGTCGACGACATCTGCGCCACGGACCGCCCCAACAGGTCATACCCGCCTGCCAGTGCGACAGGGAGAGGAATACGCGAGAAGGAAGAGAACAATGAAAAAAAAGCCGGAGCAACAAAAATACGTCCGCGAAACCAAAAAAAAAAAAAAAGCCGGGTGAGACTTAGGGGCAGATTCACACGCAAAGGGCGATGGACGCGCGTCCGGGGAAGCGGAGCGATGAATAGAAAAAAATCCGGGCCGACATTGAAGGGGTTCATCGTGTACCTTGGTTCTTGTAGAGCGATAGCACCTCGGGAGTGATCTCGAGAGTGTTCTTCTCAAACACGCCCTTGTACCCGCCTGGAGAGGGACGGACAGGAGAAGCGTGGCAGAGGGTAACAGACACATCGGAAATGTTCATCCGTTTGCTCGTGCGGATGGCTCGGAGAAAGAGACAGAGACAGAGACGAGCACGAGAATCATGGGCTTGCACGAAGCGGCACACCGGAGCAGAAAGAGGATATGTGAGTTCGGAGTTGGTCTTAAAAGCGCGTACCGACGAAGCCGAGGAGAGTGCTGTCGGCGTGGTGCGCCTTGAGCGCATCGAAGAGACCCGAGATGATGTTGTGACCGCCGGGCGACTGACGGCCCGAGAACAGCACTCCCACTCTGACGGATTCCGTCAAAAGAAACAGAAACGTATGGGGGAAAAGGCCGGAACATCAAACAGATAGCAACATCAGCATTGAGATCATCCAATGACTCCATAAATCACAAGTAAATAAGCCGGAAAAAACTGAAAGCTAGAAAGGAATGCGTACCTGAGGGGACCCGAGGCCTTGGCATGGGCCTTGGCACCCGGGCATTTGTCAACGGGGACATTGACGAGGGAGAGCAGCGAGGAGCCGTATGTCCGAGGGAACTTGCGTTGCACCGCGATGCGGTCCGACGGCTCGAGCGTCGCGGTCTCGAACCCTCCTACCACTGTGACGGAGTTAGACTGCGACAGTCCAAGCATGTGGAAGAAACAAGATCCGTTAAAACCAATACTAATGCGTTCACCGTTTTCTTTACGAGTCAAACAAAAGTTTTGCTTTCACGTTCTTTCAGATTTGTTCCCGCCACATCTGGACCGCTTTCGGTGATGTCTAAAGGTGACCGCGAAACGGAAATGACAGCGGTCTGAAATCTAGGCAGTGGAGATCCCAACCTGGAGAACTGGAGGGAGCTTTGGCGTGTAGGTGGTGCGGAGCTTCTGAAGGTCGCTCATGTTCTCAACCTCGAGACCCATGATGGCCGGTGAGATAGAACGGAATACGAGGAGGTATCAAGTGTCAAGACGCGACTCTCGAAAGCTAAGGCTTCGCAAGGCTACAAGTGCTCTTGCGAGAATGAGGTAAATTAGCTGGCGTAAACGTAGAGATGAGAAATGAATGGCCGCAAAATAGAAGAGATGGCAGCAGGACGGATATTGCAGCAAAGAGGATTCAAATCGAGTCTAGGAATTCCCTCTCTGGGCAATGGCATGCGGAATGGGTTGGGAGGTGGGAGAGGGATGGGGGGGAGGATTCAGAAGATGCTGCGACGGGATGGGATGGGAGGTTTGCCAGGAGGAGATTCCGGAGGAATTTCCGCAGTGGGGTGACTGAATTTGCCTCCAGGGTAGTCACCCTTTTCTTTCCTTTCGATACTGATTCTGGACATGCGTTCTCAAGATAGCGTGTATTTATGTTGATGGACATAGAGTTCTTCGCTGGGTCCTTGTAAAATTTCCGGGTGTTCCCCGGCGGCTGGGACAGCTTTGAATGATAGGGATGACAACACCAGAGTATCCCTCCTCCGACGTGGAGTCCAGTGCTGCTCTCGTTCCTGTGTTCCCCCTGCCACAGCGGATTGTGCGGCTAGGCAAGTGTGTGCTGGTTCGCGGGGGACGCTGCTGACGAGGCCAAGATACCAAATAATCTGGAAATCTCCAAAGCCGCTGCGCTTTCTCACTAGATCACAGGAGCATGGCAGCCACGTCAGAAAGTATCCAACAAAGTTTTGTAGTCATTTAATACACGAGTTAACATGATAACAGCCGCCCTAGCTCAGTTGGTAGAGCGCAAGGCTCTTAACCTTGTGGTCGTGGGTTCGAGCCCCACGGGCGGCGTTTTGAAAGTATCGCATGTGCACCGGGTAGAGAACTTGCCTTTTTCGCTTGGTTCATCTTTTGCATGCTCGATTATTTCAGTCCCCACTCTTCCAACAACTCACTGACAGCCTTCCAATCTAGCCTTGTAGATCATGCTTGGGTTGTTCTTTTAGCCAGCCCCCAGGGTAACTAATTAGACTTGGCTACCTGATCTCCAGGAGTGACCTGACCTCGTCCACTTTTGGGCCTAGTTGGTGATCAAATATCTAACATAATGAACTGGACAGTTGTCTGGATCGAATGCTAGTGGATTGAGCGCTGAGAGGGAGAAAGTAAATACTTGTCAGGAAACGTGAACTGGAAAGAGGGGGAGAACGTCAATCCAGGGAAAGCCATGTTCATGAAATAACAGAAACAATCAAAAGGTTAAAAAAAAAAACTAACAACAAGCTTCAAATCAGTACGCTTTCATTGACGAGAGCGCGAATAGGCCTTAAAGGCCGTAACGCTCCCACGTCGACGCGATCCGCGTATCGAACGGGGTAGGTTGGAGCCTTCCGCCTTACCCCAGATTTGCATGGCCTCCCTGACTCGCTCCTATTATCAGCACCCACGTTGTCGTTATGAACGACGCGCCCCTGCTGATAGTAGCAGCCGCGAATTGCTTTACTAGTAATGGGTGGCAGAGGATGTGATACTAATAAGCGATTCGGTGGGAGTAGCGAGGTGAACGGTGGGTGAATACGATAGTGAACGGCAGTCTCGAAGAAAATATCCGCTCAAATATAATATTTACGTCGTAAAAAATTAGGCGCTGAGTTTATGGCGCATAAAACGGAGAAAGAAACTATCCAGGCAGCAAGGTTGCCACCAAACTCAAGAATGAGCTTCAATACGAAGACAGAGCCGGGAAACGCACCTCGTATTATGTTGCATTTCTCTGCTGAGTGTGGGGACTGCGAAATGCTAGAACAGAAAGGAGCACAAACCATTTGTGTTACCAGATGCGAAACACTTTGTTTGGGTTCGTCAAATGAGCTGAGTTACCAGCCTTGCACCCAACGACGAACTAGAAATTTTGGCGTTGCGTAGCTACAATAATCGTGAAGCCTCTCGCCCTGCTTGGAGAATTATTCCCAGCGGGAACTGTACCCGAAACTGACTCCCCGAAAAGATGGAACAAAATGACGCCACTCCAAAACAATTATCATTGAGCCAATCGCCTTCCGAACCTTAGACTCACGCCGTTTTCGTAGCCATCGCCAACCAGTCAGTTCGCGAAGAGAACAGAATTATTGGTGGTTCTGAGGGCGAATTTCCAGTGCGCTTTCGATGAGAGGGAATTCACGAGGGCGACTCGAGCCGAGCAGCTCCATGCCTAGAACTTCCCCAAGTCCCGATACTTCTCGACAGACGCAACTATATCAATCTCCTGCTTCACAATCATCATCTAAATCGATCATTGTCCTCCAAGCCTACAGTGTCTCTGATATTCAAGCCCCGTATTCGCATCAGCAAGCTCCGATTCTTTCCCTCTTCTCCCTTTCTCCATGGCTCCCGTTTTCAACGTCCGCAGCTTACTCTGCGTGGGATTCGATCTGCTGGCTCTCGTCCTCACTCCCGCCGATGCCATGTACGCCACGTCCGCTGATCTGAACCGCGAGGGAACGTGCTACCGCGGCCAATTCGACTACGGCGAGAGTTCGGATTTCGACTACGGCATGGTAGCGCAGGTGCCTTCGGGCGATTTCAACAGCGGAAAGGGCTGCGGAAGGTGCTACGAAGTCTCCTGCATGAACCACCCGAGCTGCTTGGAGGGCAGCGTGCTGGTGCGCGCGGTCGGCCAAAATGGCGACTTCAACCTCAACTTCGCCGCGTGGGACAGAATCGTCGCCGACCGGGCCGCGGGGCGCGTGGAGATCGACTACCGCAGCGTGGACTGCCCTAGCAACGGCGGCCTGAAGGTCAGATTGGTCGACGATAGCAACTCGTACAACTTCGCGCTTCAGATTATCGGCGCGGCGGGGAGCGGAGGCGTGGAGAACGTGGAGCTGTCGAACGACGGGTCGCAGTGGACGAGCATGACGACGTACGGATGGGGCGCCACGTGGGTGCTGAATCCCGCCAAGGACGTTGTCGATGCGGGGCTCCCGGTGAGCGTGCGCGTGACGGGCGGCGGGCAGCAGATGGTGCTGCAAGACGTGATTCCGAGCGGATGGAGCGCCGGGACGACCTACGAGAGTGACACCAACTTCTAGAGGAGAGTCGTCGCGAGATGGGCGTATAGGTGCAACACTTGCTGCTAGAAACGGGACGTCCTGTAACGAGGTGGTGCGGCGCAGGAGGGTGCTTGCAAATAATGCTGCCACCGTGGCATGGTGGTGTGCACAGCAGTGAATAAATGCCCAGCCCTCTATGGAGGTGGATGAGCTGAGGCTAAGTGTGATCCGATCAGATGCTAGGAGTAATTAGCCATTGCGCTAGGTAATTGCTAGGTTGCCGCTGCGAGCTCTCCCATTCCTTACACTGTCATCCATTGTTATTCCAATCAAATGGGAGCGGTACACTCCAAGTAGAAAAACGTTTCATAGAAAAGTGAGTGCATCTTCAGAGAAACGTTCCATAATAAGCGATTTCATTTCTGGAAAGTACAGAAGAGAAAATATTCCACTGTGCAAAATGTTGTGACATTTATTGACACTGCTTTCTAAAAAATGCTATAAATGCCAAGACCTGGCTGGGGCCACCTATTGAGGGGCTTTGGTTGGTGGAAAATAACATCAGGCCGTTCCACTCTACTCTCTGCAGACCTCTCACTCCTCCCTTTATTCCATAAACAACTTTCTGCTTTCCCCTTGCGTCACTAACTACCATGCTGAACCCCCTGAAGACGAGCCAGCTCCAAGCTGAAGTCGACCTGCTCGGAGCTCTCGATCTCGTGGTCAATCCTAACAGCCATGCGGTCCTCGTCCTCCCCGAAGAACTCCTCCTTGAGCAGCAGCAGCTCTGCCAGCACACGGCTCATGCCCGGGCGAGACGCCGTGGGCATGGCGGTGCAGGTGAGCGCCAGGCGTGCCATGCGCAGCACCAGGTCGTCCGGTGCTTGCAGGTGCGGGTCCTTTAGTGCCGCCACGTCCCCTGCTGCCACCAGCGATGCTGCCTGTTAGTGCATCAATCGGGGAAAGCAAGGGAGCAGGGGAGGGATGAGGGGAAGAAACGGAATGGAGAGTTAAGAGTTTTTACAATGAAGAACGAATGTGCAAGGATACCATGATATGGACAGAAGGATGAACATTGAAAGAATTGGGCAAGGTGTCGGAGCAATACCCACCCATTGCTTGAGGTTGACTTGGTTTGACTCGATGTTGTAGATGGCCTTGCGAGCCGTGATCACCGCCAGCATCACCACTCCAAAGCTGCAGGCAGATGGGAAGTAATGCAGTGAGGCAGCAGAGAAGATAAACAGCAGTCAGCAGGGTAAGGGATCAAGGCAGTCAGCAGAGTAAGGGATCAAGGCAGTCAGCAGGGAAGGGTAGCAAGGCAGTCAGCAGGGTCAGGGAATGAGGCAGTCAGCAGGGTAAGGGAAAAAGGCAGTCAGCCTTGGGAGTAACCATGTGCGAGTGGTAATAAGCAGGATCCACGCGGCCTGGTGTGCCCGTGTCGGAGTGTTTCCTAGAATTCTAAAGAACACGTGAACACCATATTATCCCGCACCATGACGGAGTATTTTTTGGAATTCTAAAACACTCGCAAGTAACATATCACCCGCACCTGTGCACGTCGGCCTTGGGAGTGGCCTTGTGGGAGCGGTAGTAAGCGGGGTCCACATAGCCCGGCGTGCCCATGACTCGGGTAGCGGCCACAGATGTACCTTCCCCAAGTCGCACCAGCCCAAAGTCAGCGAGCTTGGCGTGCATGCGCGCGTCCAGCAGCACGTTGGCGGGCTTGATGTCGCGATGCACGATGCTGAAGCCGTGCAGATACTCCAGCCCCCGCGCCATGCCCGTCAGGATGCCCAGTCGTTGCTGCATTGTGAGCGGGTGGGGTGCATCTGGGAGGAGGAGGCATGGCAGTTGGGAGTTGGGCAGCTGGGTGTGCTTATGAATGGAACAAGAGTCTCCAGGTTGATAGAATAGATGGCATAGACGCAATGCATTGCAGGTGCGTAAACAGCTCGAACAGGACGGTTGTAAAGCTGTAGCAACGTGTTAGGTTGTGCAAATGTAATGGATAGAACGATGGCTACAGAATTCACCAGTCTGTTGACAAGAACAATGCATACATGACGGGATGCTAAAGATTCTCTTTCATTTTTTTTCTGTGCGTGTGTTTTTTTTTTTTTTTTTATACGATACAAATCGTTAAATACTCTTGATATCCTGTACAGCCTTACATGGTTCTATCCACACACCTTGTGCAAGCAACACAAAAAACCACCTTGGCTCACCAGGTCCGATCCAGCGGTCGAGGTCGCCGTTGGCCATGAACTCATAGACCACGATCTGCTCCATGCGCTCCGCCTCGTAGCTCATGTCAAAGCAGTACCCCAGCAGCCTCACCAGGTTCGGATGGCTCTTGGTCGCCATCTCGTTGATCTGCCGGGGGGGTGGTGGGGGGAGGAAGCAGAGCCGAGGGAAGCGGGGTGGGTGGAAGCAGGGCGGTTTCTGAAGAGCAGCCGCACCAGCTTCGGATAGCTTTTCGTCGCCATCTCGTTGATCTGCATGGCCGTGGGTTGGGAGGGGGCAAAGGGGATGGGGGGAGAGGGGGGGAGGGAAGCAGGTTGGGAGATATAAGGTTGAGAGGAAGCAGGTTTGGGGTAATCAGGTTGGGGAAAAGAAGGGTGAGAGGAAGCAGGTTCGGTGTAATCAGGTTGGGGGAAAGAAGGTTGAGAGGAAGCAGGTTCGGTGTAATCAGGTTGGGGGAAAGAAGGTTGAGAGGAAGCGTGATGGGAGGAAACAGTTTGGAAAGCAGGATGGGAGAAGTAGGTTGGGAGGAAGCAGGTTGGGAGAAAGGGGGTTGGGAGGAAGCAGGTTTGAAGGAAGCGTCTTTAGAGAAAGCAGGTTGGGGGGAAGCAGGTTGGGAGGAATTTGGTTGGGGGGAAACTGGTTGGGGCGAAGAAAAACACCCTACAGACAAGGTTGGCAGCGACGCCTCCCTCGTACCCCGCTACCGAAACCAATGCCAAGTATGATATGCGTGGTTATCTCAGAGCTTGATATTGCTGAGATTACCAAGCCAATGCAACACATGGCAGGGAGTCTCACCTTTCGCCGGAATTCGTTAGTTGCACGCGGCCTCGCTTTTGAGATTTCATAAAGCCGATGCGACACATGGCAGGGCGTCTCACCTCGCGTCGGAAGTCGTTGGTGAGCACGCGGGCTCGCTTCACAGCCCACACCTCCTTGGGGTTCCGCGGATTCACCCCCCTGTACACATCGCCAAAGCTGCCGCTGCCTATGCGGTTGCTCTCTGCCCACTCCCCTGTCGCTCGAGCCATCTCTTGCAGAGTGAATCGCTGGCACACGTCTAGCCCAGCACCCCCTGCAGCACAAAGCAGTGGCTGCACTGCTGGCGCTGGTGGAGCTGCTGGAAATGCCACTGCAGTAGCTGCGGCAGCTGCAGCGGCTGCTGCTTCTTCTGCTGCCCCCACTGCTGCTGGTGTTGCTGAGCGCCCTGCTTGGCACAATGATTCGCTTGATCGTCCCTTTATCCCTGCTTGACCCACCTCTAATGCCGCCGCCGCCGCTGCTGCTGCTGCGGGTGCTTCTTTTGCTGCCATTGCTGACGCAGAAGGTATGTCAACAACCACTTGCCCTAGGACCACTCCAGCTCCTGCTGCTGCCACAGCTGGCGGTGCTGCTGCCACTGCTGGTCGTGGTGGTCGTGGTGCTGGTGCTGCTGCTACTGCTGGTCGTGGCGGTCGTGGTGCTGGTGCTGCTGCCACTGCTGGTCGTGCTCGTGGTGCTGGTGCAGCTGCTACGACTGCTACTACCGCTGGTGCTGCCGTTCCATTAAATGCCCCGGTCAACCTTTTAGGTACCTGTGCCGCAGTGGGTGATGTGATTATTTTTGGAGGCTGCTTGACCGGTGGCGGTGCGACACGTGGCAAACGATAATTGTTGGATGGTGGTGTGAACTTGGAGGGTTTGCCTGCAGAAGCTGGAGGCATCGGTCCTGGGACCACGTGACCACCCTTGCTTGAAAGGTCAAAGAAACCCACCAAGCCAGCCCATATTTTTTTTAGAGTGTCGGAAAAAACGGCCAGCAAAAACAACAGGAGGGTGGCACCAGCTACAGACCCTGACACAATGGCTATGACTTTGTCCATGTACATTTTGAGATACACTGCTTCTACATCGCACGAAGAAATGTGGCTTCCAGCAATAAGCTGGAAGCCTTCCTGGTGACTCCCGTTTTCGGGAGTCCTGCCAATCGGCTTTCAATACTGGGGGGTAATTGTGGGGCAACAGAACCACCCTGCAGTCAACCTGCGCACTGCCGAAACCAACCTGCGAGGCGATTGAAATGTGTAAGTTGCGCATTGCATGTCAGTTGGGGCGAGTAATCTAGTTTGTTCCTTTCGGAAATGAAAAGGAGGCCCTCGCACAGGCAAGAATTGACAAGCTCAGTTGTAACCACTCGCGTAACAAAATTGTTAAAGATGGTTACCGCGTGATAACAATATGCGTATGTATAAAAGCGATAAAGAATAGTTTAGTGGATATTTGTTCCTTTTGGAGATGTGACAAGGCGACATTTAATTGAGATAACTACACTGCTAATATTATGATCAATAGAATTTCGAATGGGTTTATTATCAACAAATCAAAACAATTCCGTAATAATAATTAAATAATATTAAACGCTTACAATACTAGTTGGTTAGAAATTAATCAACAAAATATCACATACTAAACCTACAGCTACATAAAGCTACTAAACATCCTCTACCATCTGCCAATCCTTAACAATGACATCTCCAAAATAGTAGAACCCACTGACTAGTGGAATGCTAGCGTGACGTGTGAAACAAGGAAAACAGGAATGAAATGACTATGGAAGATTGGGTACAAATACAACCCTAGAAACCCTGTACCCCATATGTGCTACCCCACTATAGCCTACAGAAACTATGTCATATAAATCTGACACACCCCCATAGGCAAAGTGGGGGAGAACAAGGGGTCACAAGACCAGTCAGGTAAAGCAAAGCAGAGCAAGCTCAGGGTGGATCACAACGTCACCACACAGTCCGAGCACAAGAGCAGGGCCAGAGGCCAGTTCACATGCAGGATTACAGACATATATATATAGAACTAGACAAGCAAGAGCAGGTATATATATATGTCACAGTACAAGTGAAGTCAAGAGGAGAGCAAGTGAGGCAAGACAGGCACAAGACCCAGCTGGGTGAAAAAGCGCTGATGGTCACAAGGCGCGAGTGCCTTGGTGAACACATCAGCAGTGTTGGCCTCAGAGGCCACGTACGCAAGTCGCAACTGACCACGCTGCTGCAGCTCACGAGCAAGGAAGTAGCGGAGAGCAATGTGCTTCGTTCTGTGCTCCAAGCGCTGCTCTCGACACAAGGCCAGCATGGCCTTGTTGTCTACGTACAGCACGGGAGGAGAACGAGGCGGCTCTCCAAGGTCAGTCAGCAGGTAGGTGAGCCAGCGAAGCTCCTGTGCAGCCATGGCCCCGGCGTAGATCTCAGCCTCACAACTGGAGCCGAGAACCGAAGACGAGCGAGTAGACCGCCACGAGACAGAGCCGGAACCAAGGCTGAAGGTGTAACCCTGTGACGACCACTGCGTAGCCTGGTCGTCAGCCCAAGAAGCGTCCGCGTGGCCGGTAAGGACCACTGGACTCCGCCCTCCAAGCACTAGCCCCATGCCTGACGTGCTGCACAGGTAGCGCAATACCCTCTTCGCTGCAGCCATGTGCTCTGGTCTGTGTCTCCCAGGAGCAACATAGCGAGCAAGAATGCTCAGAGGGTATGCAAGGTCAGGTCGTGTGCAGGTCATCAGGTACATGAGGCAGCCAACAAGCTCTGCATACGGACCACTCGACTCTACGGACTCATCCGAAGGCAGAGCTGAGAGTGAGTGGCGAGTAGGCAGAGGAGTGGCCTGAGGCGAGGAGTACGTGAAGCCGAAGCGCTGAAGGACCTGCTGCACCATGTGTGACTGAGTCAAGGTAATGGTGCGGCGTGCTCTGTCCCGAGTGATCTGCAAGCCAAGGTAGCTGCGCAGTTCACCCAGGTCTGTGCACGTGTGTCTCTTCAGCAGCTCGGACTTCACGTAGGCGAGTCCAGCAGTGTCCGCTGTGGCAAAGACCAAGTCGTCGACGTACACGAGGATGTAGAACGGCGGCAGGGAAGTGTCGGTGCGAAGAAACAGCGACGGGTCAGCAGTAGAAGGAGCAAACCCAAGAGCCGCAAGCGTAGTCCTCAGTGTGTCGTGCCACTCACGCGGTGCCTGGCGGAGACCGTAGACTGGCCGTCGGAGGCTCCACTGGGTGCCAGGAGGGAAAGTCCCAGTGAAGCCAGGTGGACGGCGAAGCCAGATCTCCTCGTGCAGGCTACCCTCCAAGAACGCAGTGCTGAAGTCGAGAGAGTGAAGCTCGTAGTCGCGCTGAGCGGCTATGTGCAGCAGCACCCGAAGAGTAGTCATCTTCGGGGTGGGAGAGAAGGTCTGAAAGTAGTCAACTCCCTGCCGCTGTCTGAAGCCACGAGCAACGTACCGTGCCTTGAAGACAGGTGGAGAGCCCGGCGGCCGCTTCACCCTGAAGATCCACATGCCACTGACGATGTTCGCCCCAGGAGGGGGAACCGCGTCAACGCAGGTGCCTGTGGACTTCCAGGAAGCCATCTCTGCATCCATAGCTGCCTGCCACTGAGAGGAGTAGGGACCCTCTACGGCCTCCGCGTAAGAACGCGGAGTCGGGATGTCTAGTGCATCCGGGTCTCCCTCAGGGGCAAGCAGTACAGACGCGAGATGAGGTGAAGCAGTCGCTAGACACTGTAACTCCTCCTGCCTGTCCTCTAGGACGTCCGTGCCAAGGGCACACTCACCCCCGACGGACGGAGGACAGACAGACGCAGACTCAGCAACAAGACCAGCAGCGTAGTCGAGACGACAGCGAGCAGCAAAGTCGACGAGCTCAGCGACTAGAGCAGACGCAGCAGTGGACTCAAAAGAGGGGTCAGTGACGACAGTAGCAAGCAGACGCGTGACAGTAGGACTGGCAGCACGAAGAGAGTCCGACCCAGGGTCGGCAAGCGCAGGAAGAGAAGACTCAGGAGGAGAAGGCAAAGGGGCACGCAGAGGAGCAGTGGACGGACGCAAAGACATCCGGTGCGTGCTAGGGACAGGAGGAGGACGCTGACGCGAACTGCGACCACTAGCGCGAGTAGTGCGAACAGGCGACGCGGGACGAGACGCAGGCTCACGACGCTCAGCAAGACCTCCAGTAGGACCAGTGTAGAGGGAGCAGGCAGTGGAGAGGAAGGCTCCAGCAGGGACTGCGACTGGACAGGCGGTGGACCCTCTACTAGAGGAGAAAGACCAAGAACCTGCTGCAGGAGCGGAACGAAGTACGGCCGAGGCCGCGCGGCAGCTCCAGACGCAGCAGGGACAGCACCAGCACCCTCAGCGACAGCACCAGCGCCACCCACACCTCCAGCGGCAGGACCAACAGAAGTAGGCTCAGCACCGGCGCCCGCAGCAGCTCCAGCTCCAGGAGGACCCGCAGGTCCAGCAGCTCCGGGACCGGCAGCACCCGCACCCTCGACGGTCGAAGAAGCTCCAGCTCCAGCTCCAGCAGCACCTCCAGACTCAGCAGCACGCCTCCAGCGGCGAGCGAACCACTCGCGCAGCTCCTGTGGAGAGAGGGGCTCCCGGCGAGACGCAGCAGCAGGAGAAACCCCAGGCTCAGCAGCTCCAGACTCAGCACCCCCAGGCCCAGCAGCTCCCAGCTCAGCACCCCCAGACTCAGCAGCTCCCGACCCAGCACCCCCCGGCTCAGCACCCCCAGGCTCCGCACCCTCCGCAGTAGTACCCTCAGGCCCAGCACCCCCAGCAGTAGCACCCCCAGGCTCAGCACCCCCACGCACAGCACCCCCAGAGTCAGCACCCCCAGGCTCAGCACCCGCAGCAGCACCAGAGTCACCAGTAACCTCGACCGGGTCAACGGCGTCTACCTGGGACACACCTGAGGGGGCAGGAACCTGAGGGGGGAGGGGGTCTACCGG